AATTTCTATTCAGGGCTTATGATTTCCTTCTCTTTTCCGGTGATGCGGGGCTGCATTCATCTCCCCTTAAGTCTTGTATCTCATATCACAAATGTGGAGACTTCATGGAAAACCCCATTTTCTGTGTTTTCCATTATGAGTACAAGATTTAGCATGGAAAAAAAAAAGTTTGAGAAGTAATCCAAACTTGATCCTCGGTTTAAGAGTGGTGTTTTTTTTTTATTTTTTTTTATACGTTGTTTTTGCATGGTTTCTTCTTTTACTGGTACCCACTGGACAATATACTGACCCTTGCCAAGCTTAAGCATTTCACCGATGACATCACGTCATTGTGTGTTCTTCTGCTGTACCTATGACAAAGCCTTTCTCCGCGCCTCAGCTTCTACTCCACTAGTTTTATACAAGTGGTGCTCTCTGAATGTTGGGAACTGCTGCTTCCATGCCATTGTTGCATGGATGTAGTAGAAGTTCCCATCACAGCCGTCACAATGGCCTTCTCTAAGACAGCAGCAAACTCGTCGCCGCGTACAATTGTAATAGTGCACTTTGTTTGATCTGGATTGTGTCAAGTCATGATTACTCAACCAAATTGTAAATCATTATGCCCATCTTTTGAAACAAAATAGTTCCTAAACATCTGCAGTCTTCCTTTGTATGAAATTGTGAAGGGACTACTGCATTGCCGCCTGTTCTTAAGGCCTTCATTCCCCAAATTCTTTGAGTGTTGTCCAAGGCAACCACTGGACCGCCGCCAAAGTCTCCCATCAATCTCATCTTGATGGTCTCTCTGCTGCTGTTCAGATCATCCAAACGGCGTATCAGACAGAGACAGTCGACCAGTTTTGTCTTTCCCTTTCATGTGGCTCTTACTTGCTCTTGTGCCTGCATTAAGAGCACATCAATACTGTACTAGAATAGATTTCTTGTCTAAGCAGGGCAGAAAAGCAAGAACTAACTGTCCTGCTCTCAATTTCCTTCCAAATGCAAATAAGTCCCGCAGACTGCATTTGACTAAATCTGTCAGCACAATCACAGCTCTTAGATTTGTTTCACCTCTTTTGTGTTCACCCGTGTGTTTATCGAATCAACCATGTCAATACCCTTCTTAACATGCCTTCACTCCTGTGCTCTCTCACTGATCACTCAGCCATCCACAGCTTGAAGCTGAGTCGGACCCACGTGGACTGGCACAGCGTGGACGAGGTCTACCTCTACAGTGATGCCACCACATCTAAGATTGCTCGCACTGTGACACAAAAACTGGGCTTCTCCAAAGGTCTGTCAACCGGGGCTTAGCCGATAACTTTTCAATGGTTTGGTCAGGGCGGCGCAACGGCCATATATGAACACACATCCGTTATGTGCCCCACGTAACCGCTAAGTCATTGTTTATCATACCATCAGCAGTCAGGGTTTCTTGAAATCAAATGCATTTGATTTCAGGAAACCGTGACTGTGGGTAGTGTAATAAAAAAAAAAGACTTATCTGCCATGTTGACTGATATTGACTGCAAGGATCAAATGTTTTTTACGAATGTCAGATCTCAAATGCATTTGATTTCAGGAAACCGTGACTGTGGATAGTGTAATCAAAAAAAAAGAGACTTATCTGCCATGTTGATTGATCTTGACTGCAAGGATCAAATGTTTTTTACGACTGTCAGATGCTTTTAAAGTTTACATTCAGATCAATTTAACTCATTCAGTAGCAGCTAATACTGGACCAAGTCTGAAAAGACGTTTAAAAACGTCTTTGGGAGTGAATGAGTTCAAGATCTTTCCAACTGGAATTCAGCCTACAGAAATTTCCACTGCTTCTTGTCACCTTGTTTAAAACACATGACTTGAGATCTAAATAAAGACTCTCCTGCTCCATTGTATGAACTGCTCACAAACAGCTGGTCCACAGTCACAACAGAACAATGTATTGTGTGAAACCGCACCCCTGCAAACCCGACTGTGTTCTTTCTCAGCCTCCAGTAGCGGAACCCGGCTACACCGCGGGTACGTGGAGGAGGCCTCTCCAGAGGACAGACCCCCACAGACCACGCACATTGTCTTTGTGGTCCATGGGATCGGGCAGAAGATGGATCAGGGACGCATTATCAAAAACACGGGAATGTGAGTTTTCTCTTTGGATTTCTTTCACTTTTTTACTGACACTAAAATCCCACATTTCTTCAAATCAAGCCCCAAAAGTAGGATTTCCATTCGGCTACTAATCATTCCAAATTTGTGATGCAAATTTCATTACAAATTGCGTGCATATTTGGTTTCTATTTCGATGCAAATTTGGTTCCAATTCGAACCCAGATTTAGGTATCAAATTTGGACACGAGTTTGGCTCCTCAATTTGGACCAACTAATCATTCCAAATTTGTGATGCAAATTTCATTACAAATTGCGTGCATATTTGGTTTCTATTTCGATGCAAATTTGGTTCCAATTCGAACACAGATTTAGGTCCAATTTTTATCAAATTTGGACATGAGTTTGGGTCCTCAATTTGGACCCCAGTGTAAAAATATAACATGTATTAACACACACATATACATGATCAAGAACCACAACAGGCATTCATCTTTCATGAAACATGAGCCTGCGGCCCAATAAAAAAAAAAATGCCTGGGGGACAATTTTTGATCCACGCCTAGAGAAAACAGTGCTCTAGCCAAACCAAGAAATGTGTCTTTGTGTCACAAGAATAGTCAGGCCATCGCTTGAGGCTTAGGCCGGCTAAGCAGGTAAAGTAGACCAAGTTGAGCTGCCGAGCACCTTAAGCCTTACTCGCAGCTACATCGGGATTACGGTCTACAAACACCTTCCTCAGCAAAGAGGAAACGTCGACGTGGAACGTCAAACCACTTCATGTTCCTTTTTTCATACAGCCTAAACTCCAAAGTAAAACACCCTTTTCTGTGACCCCCCTACATCTCAACTGCTGTTGTTCAGGTTGAGGGAAGGTGTGAGAAAGATGGAGGAGAAGCACTTTTCAGAGCACAATGATGAGCATGTGGAATTCCTTCCAGTGGAGTGGCGCTCCAAACTGGCCCTGGACGGAGGTTTGTCTTTTCATTGTGCATTTAGAAGGGTCATATTAAACTCGCAATACTGAGTAAATGATGACACCACCTTACTTATACACCGTGGGGTGTATCTGTATAGATACAGTGGACTCCATTACACCAGACAAGTTGAGAGGCCTGAGAGACCTTCTCAACAGCAGTGCCATGGACATCATGTACTACAACAGTCCTCTTTACCGTGATGAGGTAAGTACCAATTAACCTGCCATGCATGTTTTTGGAATGTGGGAGGAAACCGGAATACCTGGAGAAAACCCAGCCAGGCCCGGGGAGAATTGTTTTATTATATTGTATATAGTTAAGTAGTTTATTCAGTGCCGTTTTTTATGCAAGGAAGGCAAGTGGTGAGGGTAGAAGCCAAATAAATGGCATGCATTAGAAATCCTCTCTCATGGCTGACTGCACACATGTTGTTTATTCAGAGAAAGCACTGAGCAAGTGGGTGTGCGCGAGGCGGGCAAGCATTGAGATGAAAAGTCACACGACTTGTTTGTTCCTTCCTATGTAGATCACGAAGGGACTGACACAGGAGCTGAACAGACTGTACAGCCTGTTTTGCTCGCGCAACCCCGACTTCGAGGAGAGTGGGGGCAAAGTTTCCATTGTGTCGCACTCGCTGGGCTGCGTCATCACGTACGACATCATGACGGGCTGGGACCCCGTCCGCTTCTGCCTTCAGGAACACCACGCCGTGGAGGAGGAGCTGCACAAGCACTGGACGTCGTACGAGGAGAGGCATCTGCTGGAGCAACTGCGCTACACCAGGAACAGGTCTGATTCCCCAATGGTTCAAATGCTAGAGCAGGATTCAGCAGGTAGCCCCGTGGGCCTCTTCTAGAAATGGCTCAATTCAATAACCTAATCAACCAATTAATTAAAAAACTAATCGAAAGGATAAAAACATTGCTTTGCTCCCTTTATGCTCACAACAATAAAAATATTAATTACAGGCAGAATATTTGACAGTTTTGCAATACAGAAATACTATAAAATACTATTTGTAACTATCAAAAAAAATCTAAATATCAGTGGAAATTATAGAAATGAAAGTATAGAAATATTAGAAGACTTTCACAAATATTGCAATGATGACAAAAATTCTGAAATTCCAGAAAATGATACAGGATATTATGCAAAACATATCTGAATAAAATTGACAAAAATATTGCATGGGAAATGTACAAGTTTATTATTTTATATTAGCCACAAAAAAACATTAATTATGGGGGGGCGGAAATTACGATTAAAAATAGAAGACTAATATAAATATTGGGCAAAAATACCACATTTACATAACAAATACAAAAAATATATACCAAAGTTGTATACTATGAATAAATATGAAAATATCAAAAGATATTAAAATATTAGTCACGTATACGAGATGAAAATACAACGAAAGCTCGACAGTAATTCTCAATCTTTCTATGTTGGTAAATTAAGTGTTTGCAAATTAGAGCTCACATACACCACCACTTCTCCGCTCCTTGTGATAACCGCCCCCATGTGGCTGCAAGTCAGCGTATCTTGTATCCGTTTACAGATTACGAGAGCTGGAGAATCAACTTTTAACACTGGAAGCCTCCAAACCGTCAACACCTCCTGCACTCAAATTTAAGGTTTGTACACGTCAACTGTGATGCAGAAAAAAATGGAAACTTTTGATTCAGTGACATCTCTTTTTCATAATAATAACAACATTAGGTGGAAAACTTTTTCTGCATGGGATCTCCTCTGGCGGTCTTCCTGGCATTAAGGGGTATTCGGCCTGGCACCAGTTGCCACCAGGACCACATCCTTCCGACATCCATCTGCAGCCGCCTCTTCAACGTTTTCCACCCGACGGACCCTGTGGTCAGTTGTCCCAAGTACTTGGAAATTAATGCCTCCGTCAAATAGGAAAAGAAAGAAAGAAACAAAAACCAGGTCGTTAGTTAGCCATTATTCAGTTCAGGCTCAGTGTGCATATAGTGTGGAGAGGCATGGTTTAAAAGATGAAAAACACACAAATGCTAGAAAAAAAAAGCAATACAAAACTATTGGTAGAAAATACTAAACTACGAAAAAGTAAAAGAAAATACTTAAAAAAAAATACACAAACTCTGTTCTAGAATTTCATATGGTAGTTATTGAATCTGCTTTTTTTTTCCAGGCCTACAGATTGGAGCCCCTCATCCTCAAACACTACAACAATGTTGCACCAGTGCAAATCCACTGGTAAGACTTAGGTGGCAATAACATATCATAAGTCCATGTCCGGCGAATATAAAAAGTCGACACACCTCTGTTGAAATGTCAGGTTTTTGTGATATTAAAAAAAAAAAAAATACACCAAAATAATCCATTTCAAAACGTTTTTCCACCATTAACGTGACCTTTTGCTAGGACAACTCAATAAAAAAAAAAAAAAGAGACATTTTCGAACAGGGAAGGAAAAACTGAGATCATGTGGTTGCACATGTTTCTGTTACAATAGAGGGTGTGGTAGGCTGTGTTCAGAATTAATCCCATTTCAACTCATTTTGAATGGGGCAAATAGGATTCAGATGTTCCAATATGCTTTACCAAACATTTTTGTCATCACATCATCACAGTACAAGCCAAACTCCACAGGGAGCTTCCACAGCATGAGAGGGATCTCATTGTTTAAAGCCAGGAAAAGGATAAGAAAGAATTTCGTACTGGGGCCTTAGTCAAAGTGGCCCGAATAGCAGTCAACACAAAACCTTCAGGCTTCTCAGAGAAATGAAAAAAAAATGTCAAAAGAAAGAATATTTGAACATCTCAACTTAATTTGGGGTTTAACGGTGGTTTTTTCAATGATGGCTGCTGTGTGGTGACTCCCATTTAACGTGAATGAATCTTAATTTTGAACACGGCCACATCCTCGCTTACAGCAGGGTGTGAACACTTGTGCAACCACATTATCTCAGTTGTTTTGCTTTTTTTGTAACGTCCCTTGTGGAAAAGATTACATTTTATTTCAATTGATTTGTGCTGGAACTCATATTGATGGTGGGAAAAGTTTTGAAATTATTTATTCGGTCCCAACAAAAACTATATATATAATTTTATTTAATTTTTTTAAATCACAAATTCGATGAATCCTTTGCAGGTATAGCGCCACCAACCCGGCACCTTACGACGAGGTGCGGCCCACTTTCCTCAACTTGACTAAGGAGCCGACTTCCGACATGGAGAGCATCCCCAGTCCGAGCACTTCTCCCGTCCTCCAGCGGAGACATTACGGAGAGTCCATCACCAATTTAGGCAAGGCCAGCATCCTCGGTAAGACGCTCTCAGACACTTATCATCCCCTGCAATCCTGGCATGTAAAGTACCAAGGCTGATTTTTCCCTCTTTCGCGCCTTTCCACTGTAGGAGCGGCGAGTATCGGGAAAGGCATCGGTGGCATCCTCTTCTCCCGCTTCTCGCGCTCCAACAGCCAACCCTCGGTCTCTGTGGGTCTGGAGGGCGGATCCAACCCAGAAGACGACGAGCAGCAGAAGCGCACTGAGAGCCAGTCGGCGTACGGCCTCTCAACCATGGCCCGGCCCACTTCGCCCCCTGCAGACGTGTCATGTGAGTCACCTCCCAGAAGCCCCCACCCTTTCACAATCACTGCACAAGTTTGTTCACAATGGCGGCATCTTCTGTGTATCGTTTATTTTCATTTTCCTTTGGCAATCGAAAATTTCAAAACAGAAAAATTACTTTTTTTTTTTTTTTAAATCAAGCACAAAAGAATGACTTTTTTTGTTTTGTTATACGCATCATTTTTTAAAAAATATTTCCAAAATATTGTGAAATCAATTTTGTGTTTTCATATAAAAAAGCAAAAATAAAACATCTGTTTTAGATACATTTAAAAGGATTCAAGTATGATGTAATATTAAGATAAACTAAAGAATTACTTCAATTCTAAAACGAATTGTGTGTGTTTGGTTATAATTCACTTTCATTCATTTAGTTGACAATAACAATATTGAATTAATATTGAATTAAATCAAAAATACATTTACGGTAATTAAACATGTAATATATATATATATAAACAAACAAACATCAATTGGTATTATTGGCTACATGGTGGAATAGTGCTGAGTACACCAGATAGATTCATGAATCGTCTGTATTTCAGTCACCTTCCAGTAGCTCACATATACAATACATAAAAAGACAATGCACACACCTAAAAACAACAACAAAACTGAACCCAGTGTGTGTGTGTGTTTGTGTGTGTGTCGCCAGTGGAGCTGGAGCGCCGCATTGACTTTGAGCTGCGCGAGGGCCTGGTGGAAAGTCGTTACTGGTCAGCCGTCACGTCGCACACAGGCTACTGGTGCTCGCATGACATCGCCCTCTTCCTCCTCTCTTTCATATACCAGCAGAGGAAAACAACCTCCGATCCCGGAGGAGCCACCCCCGAACCTGACTGAACACACTCCTCCCCTCGCTCCTAGCCTATTTTTGTTGCTGTCTTTTTTTAACGCACACTGATATTTTTCTTATGATCCAGTTCTGTGAACTACAAATAATAAGCCGACTTAAGTACTTTCATTCCAGTACAGTGGAACCTCTAAAGTGGACCAAAACATTTTATTTCACAATAGAAAACCATGCACAATGCACCTTTATTACAGAGAGATACATCCCAAACGCAGCCGCGATTGGTGAAAGTTTGGGCTTTCCAGAAGCCATTTAGAAAAAAAATTAAAAATAATGCCGCTCATGCATAAATGAATAAATGAGTTTTTCAGTCAATAATGGAGGCAAGGGTCCAATTAAAAAAAAAAAAAAAAAAACTATAGCAATCACCAGCCAGACCTCCATTTCCCGATGGTGTTAATTTTAATCATCACATTCATCAAACAGTCCACTTTAGAGGTTCCACTGTAAACGCATTTTAGTGTAGTTCATCGGACCTGAAACAATAGCCAGTATGACCTCAGAACCGCTGTAGCTAATTAGCATAGCTTCAGTAGTAAATACCATCACAGTCAAAAGTTTGGAAACGCCTTCGAATTCAAATGGTCTCAAACGCTTTTAACTTGTGATATAATCTTAAAGCTGAGAAATTACCAAGCTGTGCAAAAATGTTATCTGGGCAAAAAGGGCCTACTTTAAAGAATCTAAATCATAAAACATTCTGTTTTGATTCACATTTTATTGTTTACCAAATAATTCCATCAATATTCCTTATGTCGTTCAGGATTTTTTTTTTTTAAATAATGAAAAACACTGACTTGGGGGGTGTTTTCAAATTTTTCACTGGTTTTGTACCGCATTGCCCTGTACAAGCTGGTCCGAAGCCTTGGTGACACAGCTGCCTGTTGGATTACATTGGTTTGCCTTTTGAAACCAGCCAAACATACCGTATGTTATATTTTAATAGGACGGAACATAATATTGGGTCATTATGTGATTTATTTATTTATTTTTAATCACTATTTGCAGCTGTCAGTAATGGCCGACTATGGGTCATCAAGGGATGTGTGATCAAGATTTGACCTTGTGGAGTTCTTAGAATTTCATGCTTTACTGGGAGCCATCAAACCTAGCCAGCATTTACTGCCTACACACAATGACAATAACTCTAAACCCTTACAATTCAGCGTTGCCCGGCTGTAGAATATACAAGGTTCAAATTTGGTTACTGTCGGAATAAGAGACTTTTTTTGTGGGTCTTCTCACGACAGACATATCTGCAAATATTTCAATTTTGAAAATCTCTCACAAGAATATGTCATAAGACACCTGGAAAAATCGAATAGAGGAAGGAAGGGAATTAAGACAAAACGTGAGACTTTTTTGGTAGTCTATTCATGATAGACATGGCCACCAAATTTCATTTGTCGCAAAACTAAACTTGCTTTGGGGACTGAATTTTCATAATATCTCGGACTACACAATGACAGACTATGCATTGTATGCCCCACATACAATGCCATTGTTTTGTCCACTCCAAAGAGACTCTTAAATTATTCTCCCAACAAATAATTAACCAAAAAAACTGTTGTTTTGCGAATAGAGGAAGGAAGGGAATTAAGACAAAACGTGTGACTTTTTTGGTAGTCTATTCATGATAGATAGACATGGCCACCAAATTTCACGTCGCAAAAGTAAACTTGCTTTGGGGACTGAATTTTCATAATATCTCTGACTACACAATGACAGACGATGCATTGTATGACCCACATACAATGCCATTGTTTTGTCCACTCCAAAGAGACTCTTAAATTATTCTCCCAACAAATAATTAACCAAAAAAACTGTTGTTTTGGGCCATTTAGGCGGTTCGACTACCATTTTACAAGTGAATGGGATATAAGCGATTTGTGAATCTCATCTGCGCATGTGTGAGAATCAAATGTTTAAAAAAAAAAAGTTGGCTGCCAAACAAATGAGGGGTCATTGAAATTTTGTATGCTAGTTCAAAAGTGTATGCCTAACTGTACACCTAAAAGCCAGGACTGTTTGCACATTGTGTTCAATCTTGTTGTTCCATGTCAAATTGGCGATCGGTTTCGCCGAGTGTTACGCTGCCTTCAGATCACTTCACTGGTGTTGGTTATCTGGCCAAAACAACATTTTTATTCAGGCTATTTATTAACTGTAGCCTACCAGCAGAGGGCGGTCAGTTTACAGAGTATCAAATGACAGACTATGCATGTTTAAAATAGAATAAAGGGAATGTCATCCCCAAATATTTTTTTTTTACAATATGTTCTATGCGCATCCACTAGTCTAAACATGACATTTTGATTAATACTGAGTTGTGGAATATGAGTTAAGCGGCAAAATTTAGCTTTTTTTTTTTTTTTTAGCCTTCTTACATCGCGGTCAATTTGCCCTTTGGTGTCGACTGAAAATGACATCACAGTTGCTCAGGTAACGACCAGTCACGGCTCACCCGTTTTCTGAAACTGTGTTGAATACTCCTGAATACACATCTACCCTGTCACGAAGCAAAACTGGCTTCAGTGGGTTGAATTTTTCATATCTCTGTCAAATCATCGGTAAAAATCACCTAAAATGGCTGCTTTGAGCCAAAACGGCAGACTTCTTGTGTCTTTACTGGCTTCTCGAGCCTTTTTTTTTTGTAAGTCTACTCATTATAACACAATTTCATTTCATACAAGTGAAACTGGCTTCGGGGGCTGAATTTTCTCTCTCTCAAACGAGTCCATCTTAAAAGGACAGCATAAGCTATGTGCTGCTGCTTCGCAATCAAGGGCTGACACACGCACTGTTGTTTATTAGCGTCATAGGTCAATCACGTGTGTGTCCTGTTGACTGAAAGCCACGCTGCCTTCCTTGACGTTAAATCGAAGCACACCACTGGACTTTACTTTCACAACGATATTATATTTTTTATTAATGAAGGCACGTAAAACGAAACGGTCCCTATTATGTTCATGATCAATCAATAGGTGTCATTAGACGGTCTGAAAAGCCGGGTGTGCATTAAGGTTGTAATTTATGACCCCTTCCTCCCTGCCCTGCTCTGTGCAATAACAACAACAAATGCCTGTGAATGGATCCTAACCTCCATCGAACGCACTGTAACTATTTATTCCCCGTCATTAAAGGGCATTCCTTATTTTGGAAGACAACCATTAACCTCGTCTCATTTGGTCCTGTCAGTGATGTGGTATGCTTTGGATAATGGACTCCTAACATTCAAGTAAAAGCACCCACAGATTTAAGAACTGCAGTTTATCCAGTAAGTTGCCAGGTTCATGCTACTCATTAGCTTACGCTACATTAGCATCATTTCAGTGACATTAAATTGAATGTCATCCTTTCTCTTTTCCTTCAGCCTTCCTTGCTTCTTTCCTTGCATAAAGTCCTTGTTTTATTCCTTGTCTTGTCCCCGACCTTCCATCCTTCCCTTCAGTCTTCCATCATTGTTTTCCACCCTTCTTCCCTTCTATGCCTCCTTCCTCCTTTGTTCATTTCATCTGTCCTTCCTATTTTCCTTCTGACCTTTCCGCTTTCCTCATACCACCCATCTTTCAAATCTTCCTTCAGCATCCCTTCATTTCGTTACTGTCCTTGTTTCCGTGACGCTCTCTTAATCCCCTTCCTTCCAACCTTCAATTTCTTTCTTTCTTCCACTCTCCCCTGCGCTCTCTTTTCAATACCCTCCTTTACTTCCATCTTACCTCCCTTTACCAGTTCGACTGTTCTATATTTCTACGTGTCACACGCTTTGCAATAAAGTTCTATATTTTCTTTCCACACACACCCGTGTTGCAGTGATCGCAAAGTGGCAAATTATGATCATGGCGGACGAACGGGAAATTGAATTTAGCTGCTGGCAAGATTTGTTTTGAAATTGGGCTAATTACACTTCACAGAGATGTAAAATTACAAAATGCTCGCCATTGTCTTTGAACGACTGCATGCTGATGTGTCGGAAGTCTGATTTTTTTTTTTGGAGGACAAAGGATGGGTTTGTTGGGCTACTGGGATGCATGAGATTCTTTCCGAGCCCAAATCGCTCTCGCTAACAACAAAGTGGTGTTCTGGACGGTCAATGGACCTCTTTGTGACTTTGAACACAGTCTGTAAAACATCTGCACCGGTCCGAAGAGAGCGCATAAAACACGGAAACTCGCACCGGGACCTGCTCTTCCGCGCCGGGCCAGGAGAGGTCGGTCAAGTATAGCTAACGCGGGGGAAACAATAGCTCCTATTGAGCCATCTGCTCACAGGCTGCTTCCCCTGCTGTTTCCATTTATGGCCCCTCTGCTCACTCACATGGATTGTCGATGAACCAAAAACAGTTAACGCACGAAAAGTGGGACGATATCCATCCGCTTCTCAAACTTCACCCTCCCAAAGAATCCTTGTTTCCTTCCTTCCTTTTTAAACTAGTTTCCATCATTTCTCCCTCTTTTTTTTTCCTTCCTTGCCTTTTCCCTTGCATGTGTCCTTATTTGTGTTCTTGCCCTCTATCCTGCCTTCCATCCTTCCTTCAATTCCCCTTCAGTTCTTTCATTTCTTTGTCTTGCCTACATTAAGCTTCCATCCTCCGTCCTTCCTTTTACTGTATTTCCATCTGCCCGTCCTATCTTCCTCCCTCCCTTCTCTCCTTTATTCATACTTTACTTCCATCCTCCCTTCATATATTTCCATTATTCCTTGCTTTCATCCGTCCCTTCGTTTGTTACTTCCATCCATCCCTCTGGCCTATTTTCCTCGTTTCCTTTGCCCATTTTCCCTTTTGCCTCCCTTCCTTCATTCCTTAGTCCTTCTTTTCATTTTCTGCCTTATATTGCTCTCCTTCCCATCCTACCCTTTCTTTTCTTCTTCCTTCCAGCCTTCCTTGTCTCTGCTTCTGCCCCATCCTTTCAATCCATCCTTCTTTCATATCAACCTATTCCCATCTTTCCTTTCTGGCCATTCTTGTTTCTATCATTCTTCCTTTTCATCGTTCCCCATCAATTTCTAAATTATTCCCATCTTTCATTTGCGCCCTTCCGGGCTTTCTCTTTTCCATTCCCTTTTTTGACTTCCTTCTCCTCTTCCTTCATGTGTACTTGACATTCTTCCTCCCATCCTTCGTCCTTGCATCCTATGTTCAAAATTGCTTCCGCCTTCATGTCTCTGTTCTTCCGTATATTCCTTCCTTTCGTAAAACACCTTGATTCCCTATGTCCTTCCCTCTTCATATCTACCTTCGTCCCTCATTCCTCTTTCATATTTTGCTTCCTTCCCTCTAACTTTCTTTCAAACCATCCTTGATTTTCACCCTCGTTCCACTTTTCCTTCTTTCCTACGTTCCTTCCTTCCTCTTGTATGTCAGCCAATTTAAAAAGTGCCTCCCTGCTTTCATACGAGTGCACGAGGAGCACGGTGGCACACAGAGAGAGGGAGAGAGAGAGAGAGAGAGAGACAGAGGAAAAGAGCGATTGGAGCAGTGACGTGATCCTTAGCTGAAAAGAGGAGGAGGGGGAAGAGGAGGAGGGAGAGGGGACGGCTGGACTCCATTAGGACCAAGTCTGCTGGAAAAGTGCTTGGGAATACTCCACTACTTCTTCTAGGGCGACTCGTCGGGATTTTTTTTCCTCTCATTTTGGATCGTCTTTCCCCTCCCCAAAACTCATCCTGCATGTTATAAAGAAGGACAAAAAGCAGCTTTGTATCGTGTCGTCGAGCGTTTGAGTGTCTTTTTGTGAAGGTGAGCGTTGTATCCAGTTTACTTTCGGAGTTCGGGCGTACAATGCCGCTTTTTAAATCCTAGCTTTTAGCCGTTAGCATCTAACTTTGCGACGCGCTCATGTCAGCCATTTCGCTGCTGTTTTAAATACTTATTGTGCGTTTGAAGGGCAGTACGACGCTTACATAATGAAACATAGGCTACGTACGTGGACGTGTGTCGTGTACAGTGCGAGACCGTTACTTTCCAACAGGTGAATCACTTCCGCAGGTAACAAGCTCCTGGAAAGGGATCCGGGGTAACACCCGGGGACCCACCCACTCAACCCGGGAGAGACTCTCCTTTTTCGGCCACGTTTAGCCCGGCGTAGCCCCCCACCCCCTCTCCTGGACTGGACCGGCTCGCTTTGAGAATTGACAGATGGGCTCATTTACTTTTTTTTTCCACGAATCCACAACAGGGCGCGTCTAAAACCACCACAAGTTCGCATATTCGTTTTAAAAAGCGATATTAATTCGTTTTTGTTGCTGTTTAGCCTTTTTTTCGCTTGTTTTAATGTCGACCTATCATGGAGGCAGTAGCATCTGCTCAATAAAACAAACATTAAGAGTGAAAATGCATCCTCTCTAGCTAATTTCTATTTTAAATGCATAAAAAACGTGTTTAGGAATCAAATTCTATACATGTATGTTGATGTTGGTAAGTGGACTGATGCTAAATTTAGCATTATTTTACCAGTTCAACTGCAAAGTATAATTTAAGGGCCTTACCAATTGTCTTTACATATACCGGTCATGTTCTATGCATGCCGATTTGGTCAATTTTGACCCAGCCCAAGAATATTTTCCTAATTGTCTTCATCAAATGATCGACAGATGTTTTCAAAATGTTTGAATAGCTTTGTAAATACTAGTAAGCGGATGAATAATACTTCTAAATTGAATTATTCAATTCAAAATATTGTTGTATTTAATATTTCTCTGTCATAAATAGCGAACATCCACAAGTAATTCATACGCACTCCGAAAAGTCTTGACATTTCCTATGGATGCCACAAAATTGTGGCTTATGTCGAAATGAAACTCTTCAACTCACTTCAACATACATATTCGACATCAAGATGCCACCAGATGATTGACATGAGTAACGGGGTATAAGTTCCAAAAAAGAATCAGTAGATTCCGGCCAAATGTGCAACGGGTTCATGTTATTTGTTTTTGTCTCATGCCTGTGTCATGGCACACTTTGACCTCTTGGATGACTTCTGTTCCTGATGATTGATCATTCTTGCACCGTTGCACTTTTTTGCTACCCCACTATGGCCCTTCAAAGACTTCCAGGCGAATTTGAATGAAAAAACCCACATTTCCTTCCCTTTTTTTTTTTTTTTAAACTAAGACACAACAAAAATCTATTTTAGTTCCCAGGGGTCAAATATGACCCGGAACAGCCTCACTGTACATACATTTTGTAGCCCCTGTACAAAAGAAGACCTTATTAGATATTTGAATTTTTGTGTATTTTGAGTCATTGAGTCAAGATAATTCAACAATTTCAGGATGAATGAATGGTGAGGATGAAGCCGTTCAAATAACAGATGGATGGTTGATATTGAGCGTTTTTTTTTTCTGTCAACTCTCAAACTATGTCACGTTTGACCCAAACAGTGCGTAAGGGTTGAAAGGATGCTATTGCATTGAGATGTTGATCTGCTCATCTACAAAATTTGAATTGATGCAGCTGCGTTCCTCTTCACCTTGAATCCAAAAGTTTTTTTCAGTCAGATCTTTAGTCTCTTACTTGAGTTTTTTTTTTTTCTTTTCTGTCAAATCTCAAACCATGTCACGTTTGACCCAAACAGTGCGTAAGGATTGAAAGGATGCTATTGCATGGAGATGTTTATTACTCTTGTCTGTGTCGATTCTTAGTCATCCAGGTCATGCTAATCTACAAAATTTGAATTCACCTTCATCTTTAATCCAAAAGTTTTTTTCAGTGAGATCTTTAGTCTCTTACTTTAGTTTGTGTGTTTATTTTTTTGGAGGAACAAGAATGGCGCTGGACGGGATCCGGATGCCTGATGGCTGCTATGCCGATGGGACGTGGGAGCTGAAGATGCACGTTACCGACCTCCACCGGGACGTGTCGCTAAGGGTCACCGGCGAGATCCACATCGGCGGTGTCATGCTCAAGCTGGTGGAGAAACTAGGTGAGCCATGGCTATGCGTCATAAAACTTGTCAAGCGCAGTCTTGGAGTGTACATGTGCTACACCATTCAAACTGTTCATGTGACGTTCGCAAGCTGAGCCCTTATTGGCCCTGAGCTCCTTTGACATCATTTGTAGTCGACAGCAAGTGGAAAGATGGCCACCTCCTGAGATGGATTAAAAACTGGTTGATTTTGGTTCCACAAACGCAACGATAATCAGTATACCATGTTTAGACTAGTGCGAGCACATAGAACATATTAGTGTAAAGGAAATTTTTGACTTGACCTCCCCTGACTGCAAGTCAAAGTGTTTAATAGTTTAACAACTCTAATTGAAGTACCGGTAGATAAAAATCTTTCATATGAATTAATGGTTAATTTACCTTTATTTTAGTGTAAATCTAAAATATAAGACCAGACATAAGATTTATGTATGTCGCATATTATTGTAATACAAATGAATGTATTTCTCATATTTGTAAAAAAAATAAAATAAACGAATGACTTATTAAGTCGCAATTAAATTTTTCAAAATCGTTCATCCCTACCCACCGTCCTGCCCAACACCAATAAATAACAAAGGCAAAGTCATAGGAAATAATCCACAAACGTCAGTGGCTCAAGCAAGAAAGAACACAGTTGTGCAACACCTTTATTTTAGTGTAAATCTAAAATATAAGACCAGACATAAGATTTATGTATATCTCATATTATTGTAATACAAATGAATGTATTTCTCATATTTGTTAAAAAATAAAATAAAAAATGAATGACTTATTAAGTCGCAATTAAAATTTTCAAAATCGTTCATCCCCACCCACCGTCTTGCCCAACAGCAATAAATAACAAAGGCAAAGTCATAGGAAATAATCCACAAACGTCAGTGGCTCAAGCAAGAAAGAACACAGTTGTGCAACAGTGGTACTCTGTTGCAGCTCGTTGAACAGCGCATTGTTTCACAAGGAACACAGAGAAAAGAGCTGTTTTTTAATGTCATGTTATTTATTTTTTCGGGGTGGGAGGGTTGTGACAGTGTATCGTGTGTGGAAGACTGCCTGCCGAAATGCCCGACATTCCTGCAGGGCTGCACTAGGCTTTTATTCCCGGCCCACGCTCCCGCTTTTAGCTCTCCTGTCCTGGGCCGCCTCATGATTTAGGCCTTTGTTCACTGTACACGTCTTTAGCCGGTCGATGAAGTGCGTTGAGGTGGTGGTATGTTTTCCATTCATCATTTATCCTAAGCTAACTTCCTTAGCATTCTAACACCCGCTTAAAAAAAGCTAGCATGTCGACAGATCAAATTGCTGATTTCTGTGGTTTGTGTCCTACGGTCTCCACTTTATTGGAGCACACCCATTCCTTGTTGTGCTGAATCTTCTTTCGGGTAAAATGAGTTTGCTTACGGAGAGAAATAAGGTGACCCTAGTTTGCTTTGTTTGCCATCATTGTTGGTGTAGTCTTATGCTCCGCAGTCTCCACTTCACTGCAGAATTATTTTCTTTCACTGCCCCCAGTCTCCTCTCAGATAAACTTGGTCTCCTTATGTCAAGAAGTAAATACGGAAAACCATTGTTCTTGTAGGTTGTCGTGTTTTGCTCCGCAGTCTCCACTTCACTGCAGAATTATTTTTTTCACTGCCCCAAGTCTCCTCTCAGATAAACTTTGTCTCCTGATGTCAAGAAGTAAATACGGAAACCCTTTGTTCTTGTAGGTTGTCGTGTTATGCTACACAGTCTCACTTCTCTGCAGCACCCCGTTTTCCCACTGCCCGCAATCTCCTCTCAGATAAAATGGGCAATGCATTATGAAATGCAATCTTGTCAAACTTTGTTCTGCTCTGTTGTTGTTGTATTATTCGCCACAACCTCCATGTTGGTGAATTTTTCTCTTTTTGTCTGTGCCCTTAATCTCCTTTTGCATAGAACTAGTGTCCTTATGGTGAGAACTAAATTCATCCTAACTGTGTTTTCCTCATTTTTGTTCTGGATTTCCACAGTCTCCACTTTGGTGCAGCACTCTCTTTTCTCAGTGCCCATAATCTCCTCTTGGAGTCTCTTTATAATTGAAGAGAAATACAGGTGACCCACTGTCTGCTCCATCGTTGTAGTTTTGTACCCCACAGTCACTCCTTTTACTCAGTCCCCATAATCTCCTCTGGAATAAAAGTGGCCTTCCTCTCCGAAGAAGGCAAACTTCATTCATTGTGTACGTTCATTTTTAAACCGAATACGCCTGATGCTCCGTCCATGTTGTGAACATTCACATCCACATGTCGTACATGTTCAGCACATCCACCCGGCAATGTGTTGACAAATGCAGCTGTCCTTATAAAATGCGTTTCTCGCCGGTAGCCGTGCACGTGTTAGTGCACGTGAGCACGCCCACGTGATTGGCCAGACGCTTGCTCGCCTACTCGCCTGCTTCAGTCAGTCAACTCTATCTCTCCGGTCGTCCGGGGCGCACTATTGCAGGCTCAGATGGCCTTCGATAATGGATTAAATAGACAAATGCCAGAAAGGCACTCAACTATTGATCACAGCTGTACTTCCACCACCCCCCACGGTAACCCTTATTTAAAGCCAGCCTCTCGTAATGCTTTCGCCCTTCTGTCAGTTCCCTTGTTTTCTGATAAAGTGCTGCCCATGCCTGTAAAAGACAACACAAATATTGCACAAACATTTGCGGGCGGGAGATTTTATAAAATTTCCTGGTGCTTTCACCAAAGGACGAGGTTCATGTATCAAGACCAGGGTTATTGGCTCCTATCGAGCGCAGTTGGCTGGCAAAAACACACTATAAACAAAGTGAGTATGTAAAAAAAGTCTATACACCCCTGTTCAAATGCCAGGGTTTTGTGGTATAGACAAAAAAGTGAGGACAAGATAAATCATTTCAAAACTTTTGTCCACTGTGAATGAGATCTCTCTTTAGACTCGCCTAAAAATGTCCCCCAGCCCAAAAAGTTGAATACAAGTGACACTTGTTTTTCTCCATATTGAAAAACAAGCAAATCTTTCAGATGAGCAAAAAAGGAGGCTGTATTTTGTTGAAATTATTGAACGTAAACAGCGGCCTTTAAGTTTTTAGAACAAAAACATTTTTGAAAGTTTGAGATTTTCATCACAGGGAAGATGATGCCCAAGCAGTTTTTTTTAGGATCAAGAATAAGCATTCTCACCAAGACCCAGGAGAGGCAAACAAATTGCTATTTGTGAATGGATACCCGGTGGGATACATTGGGGTTCCTTCCCTACAACATTCACTGTTTCGTTTGATACTCTGTTCAAATGTGAAACTGTCTTGCTTGTTTCAGCTGTCTACAGTATAAACAGTATTGCAGCTGAGTGTAAGATCGGGTCGAGTGGGGGGCTGGCAGGCGAGAGGGGTGACGCACGAAGTAACAATGGGGCGGGGTCAGAGAGAGGGACCTCGTCAGCCACACTACTACTAGAATTCCATAAAAGTCTTGGATGCAGCAGGAAATGACTTCCAGGGTCTGGCATGCTGTTTCGTATGCTGCTGCCGTCACTGCTATATTCTCCACTCCCTCCCTCTATAGAACCCCCCCGATCACTACTTTTTCCAACCCTGACTATATAACATTTGGTATGGATGGACAAATAGTTGAAATCTTTGAATTACGTATTTGGGACATTCTAACTGAAACTGAGACCCCTGCCCCAGGTGACCCTGTTCAGGATTTCAGACTCGCCCATTCATACACGGAGCTTTTTGTGATCATAGACGCCATTGTCACTGTTCAACAAAAGCATGAATCTTCATATTTTGTGTTGTCAGTTAATCCAAAACAGGTTTTGTAAGAATGTGTCTCCACATGTTCTCTTTTTATTATTTTTTTTAATGTAAAACATAGACATTTTTTTGGGGGGGGGCAGATTAAAATTTTGGGATTTATGCATTTTAATGAACAACAAAAAAAGTATCCAAGTATACCATTTTTTTTTTTTTTTTACTTTTATCTGAGAAGCAAAAAACCCCCACCAAATTTTCCTTTATTTCCTGTCCCCCGCAAATGAAAGACGTACAGTACAGTATTTGCTTTTTCTTAACACCAAAAAGCATGCATCTCCACATTTTCAAGGATTTTTTTTTTTTATTTAAAAAAAAATGCACTTGAATATACTCGATTTTTGTTGCAGTCCAACTCCAGATTTTTTTGACGGGGAATCTAAAACAAAGAAAAAAAAAATGAAACAAAAATTTAGAGGTGACGTGTTTGTTGTTGTTGTTGCACCGTGACGGTGAAAATATTCCTACTCTGATCATGCTTGAAAAAAAATGTTGTTTTGACTGATTACAACTACGTTAACGCTTATTTTTTAAAAAATGGGTGGAAGGTATTTTTCCTGTGTAAAAGGTCGCCTCTGCATGGGCATTATGTGTTCCTGGCTCTTGCCAAGCTGTCCATAACAAAGCGGAACACGGCGGCAGCACCGACTATTGAACTGACATCCTCCAGGATCACTAGATCAGTGTCAAAAATGTGCTTTTCCATTTTTAATCATTAGAATGTCGTTACATAATCAGACGTTCAGTCTTTTGTTTCTTTGGATAGCTACCTTTGAATGGCTCGCACGAGAGCGCCTTGACCAACCATGGCAATAATAAAAAAAACATTTAAAAACAGAAAAATTCATCGTGCGTTAGAATCCATTCTGAGGTGATACCTAGGCTGCGTTCTGGCTGCTCAGCTGTTCCATAAATAGAAGTTGAGCAAACACAAAATCTTCTGTGACTGATCGTTTATGTAGTTTTTTTTTTCCCGTGCAGGGGGAGCCTTGAAAATCAGCCGACCGTTCAACCACGGAGAACATTACTCACACATCTTGGGTGCTTTTAAACATTTACATTAGTCATCAATCTTCTCATCTGTTTTTTTTTTCTTTTTTCCCCTCCAACACAAATATGAAAAGAATTCCACGTGCGCAGCAAAGTGTCAGCCACCTAAAAACGGCAAGAGGCTTCGGAATCGCGTCCGGACTGCCCAAAAAGGCAACATAGCTAGCCAGGTTGGGTGCTTGTTTATTTTGCTCATCCACACATCTCTTAATCTTCTTGTGGACTCGCTCAGAAGGAGGCCACTTCTTCTAAATTTGGTGTCCTGCTCGGAACTTTGTCAATTTTTCATTTTGCCTTTCCAACAATTGGAGGGCAAGTTTTGTGAGGAAACAGATGTGATACACCACAGGATGTCAAACTTCCTCTGGGCTTTTATACGCACCTTATTTTCACCCTCTGCAGCTTGACCGATTCCCGCTCTTCTGTCACATTTCGGTTTTGTTTTTAGGTTTTAACGCTAGTCCTTTAGCTTGGAACGCCTCTTGGCAAAATATAACCTTGATCACTTGACTCAACCATGACATCATTCTCAAAGTGTAGAGTCACATCGTCGGTGCTAGCAAGGATCTGGCTTTTATGAATTGCAAAGAAGCCCGGGGATCATCCTGCTCCCTAATCTCCCTGACAGGAAGTAGTTAGCCTAAATAGCGGTCCTGCCCAGGCCAGCGCTTTCCTGTCTCACTTGCAAGATGCTGCAGGGCAGTGATTGTGCCGTTCTCTGCTCATATGCTGACTATGGACTTCCAGCATACAATAAATCGACAACATGTGCAGCAAAATATTGATAATGTGATATATTTTGTGATATTCACTTACAATACAATATCGTATTGGTCCTTTGACAAATTGAACCTGTTACCTGACGTGATTGTCAGTGTTCACCGCAAAGCCAAACGATGAGTGATATTACAATGCAAGTGCTATCGTGAGGTATGGTAGATGTTTTTGTCCCAATATATCCGTTATCCCACAATCGCTGATAGCTATATCAATGTATGGTTTTCTTCCACTGTATCGTGACTATCGTACAAATGACGTCTCGTGATATTATTGCTATCGTTGGCAAAATGTCATCTGATATGTTGAGGGTTCAGTAAATATTGTGATACTTCAAATCGATGGCATCTGCAAAATATTGTGGCATGACACCATTTTTATGAGCTACCTAAAAGAAATCGTCATGTGTCGTACAAGATTTTTCCAATATGTAATGGTTATCGCGCAATCGCAGTCGTCTCTATTATTGGTATCGTTGAGTTTTCTGTAGTTACCTACGGTAGATATCGTCATGTATCGCACGTGATGGATATCGCACACTCGCTGTTTCTTGGTATTCATGGTCTTATTGGCCAAATATTGCAAGATCAACTTTTAGGTTTCCATGAGTTGTGCGGGTTGAGTGATTTATGGACTACGTTCTTCTATTTATTGTGATAGTATTATCATTGGCAAAGTATCGTGAGATTGTATCATCTTGGATTCCAATGCTTGCTTTCCCTTCAGTGGTTTATGCGACACAAGGCATCCATCCATCGTTTGAGGACATTTTAGAACCTCGGGTATTGTTGTCGCAACACCGCACAACCGAGTCTCAATGCAGTAAACCGATATGGCGCTTTTTGTTAAGGTTCTACTGTCATTGCACAATGAGGAGACAAACCCAAGGTCTTGTTTTTCCATCCCCAAGGCACCTTTTTGACGACACTGATTTAATGTTGCTTATTTTTGCAGGGTGTACATTGTTTGATTTAAAACCTGAATTTTTTTTTTTTTTGAAGTGCTCATTTTCTCTACACTTCCAATAAATACAATCGAATGTGTTTTCGTTCTTTTGTGAGATATCACTGGCATCCTTAACTGTCATAGAGTAAAAACGAATAAGGAGGCCTGCTGTTAGAATGAAACGTAAAAACAAAGCTTGTCCATATTTTCATGGACCTAGGTCTGCAGTTTATAAAATGATTTTAACGCCCTTGTCACTCTTTTTTGGCACTCATGGTTATAAATAACAAACATGGCAAAATGCCCGCTCAAAAAAAAAAAATGTAAGCAGAAAACAAGTGATTCTTCAAAGTTCGCTCAAGACAGTGGCGCGGGATGTTATGAAGTTTGCTGTTGCCATTTCGTGGCGTACTTTCTACACGTCAAATTTTTGCTCTCAACACAAGTCAAAGAAATGACGAAGGCTTGAAACTCAAACAACTCATGTAGGGGCACTGCACCTTCATAGCATCCATGCTTAGTTTAATGGTTGAGTACAGGCGGGTATGCAGCTCATGGTCGTCCCCGGGGGCCCCATCATGCATATTGCATATCTTGCTCAATTTGTCTGAGTCCCCTCTTAGCTTTCTTGGTAATGTTATTATTCCTCAAGGTCCCTAAATGTATCAAGCTGCATCAGGGTGATGCAAAGCGCGGGAGCGGACCTCTGTTTGGATGAAGACGCGAATGGACACAAACTACCTGTCTCTGAGGTTTACACTAATAGCCATCTGGCCTCTAATGCATCAACGCTAGCATGGCTGTACTCGTGTACTTTTTGTCTTGCACTGCCAGCTTGCATTCTGCCTTCGCCTTCTAAAATGTTCCATGTACTGATAGAGCAGCTATTTGAAACAGCCAAAGTTAGTGTTCTCTAACTTTCCTGTGTATGGTTACTTTCGACTGGATAGCGTCCCTGAGCCTGGAGCTGTTAGTGACAAGACAGTCAATATTAAACTGTCGTAATGTACCCTGACATCTTCTAGTTCACTCGTGACCTTCTGAGATCATTGACTCGAAGAGTACAAAGTACGTTCCTGTCAAAAGTTCACAAGCCTAATTGACTTTCTGACTCTATTTTTTGCTGGCGAAAAAGCCTGAATGAGAGATGGCTTTTGCTATTTGAAACAGCCAAAGTTAGTGTTCTCTAACTTTCCTGTGTATGGTTACTTTCGACTGGATAGCGTCCCTGAGCCTGGAGCTGTTAGTGACAAGACAGTCAATATTAAACTGTCGTAATGTACCCTGACATCTTCTAGTTCACTCGTGACCTTCTGAGATCATTGACTCGAAGAGTACAAAGTACGTTCCTGTCAAAAGTTCACAAGCCCAATTGACTTTTTGACTCGATTTTATGCTGGCGAAAAAGCCTGAATGAGAGATGGCTTTCGGCCGGTAAGGTTTGTGCCGCATGCTGAAATCTATTCTTGAGAAAATATAAACATGCTGCTCTTCCTCTTCAACTCTTCGAAACCAACAATTGAATTCATTCATTGTTGCGTTAATAATCGACAAACCTCGACACTGAATCTTGCATATGGCCACGACATTTCGGGAGAATTTGTACATCAAAAGTCAGGTTTTAAAGCTGACTTGATTTGACTATTGGAAGAAAACCATATCTGAGAAATGATATCTCTGTGATTCGATGCTCATGTTGGAAATCTTGAGCGACAGACTTGCAACCCGGATTTTTGCGTGAACGTTGCCCTGAAATTTCTGGTCGTATTGCCAATTGTATGACTCAAGGAGCATCATATATTTTAGAGCGACCACTGTACCTGTGTGCATAGAACCATGCCAAGTTAGGTTGACACACAGCACAGGAGCTGCCAGTCGCCGACAGCCGTGCACTTCAGTTGTGGATGAGTGCTTCCAAAAAAAAAAAAAGTTTTCCCTCAGAATGAAAGAGGGAACACACAACCCAAAGCTCAACGGATGACATCACTGACAAGAAACGGCCGAAAAGTTTGGCAGTGTGGAGTTATTTTGGTGTTGTAATGTTAGGCAGGAAACGGAGTAAGTAGCGTGCACTGCAAATTATGCCTTAGTGCACATTCACACAAAGACAGATGATGCCACCAAGCTTCTTCTTTTTATTTTTTATTTTTTTGTCTCCTCCACCTGAAGCAGTGGCCACCCGATAGAGTCCACAAAGGGCTTGTGCAACAGACCTTGAAGTTGGCTTTCTCCCGTGCCATGCCCTATGATGCAACGCAGATATCAGAAATACAGTCGCCTATTGTATCGCAGAAGATACGCTACCAGTAAACACAGTAGAAAATAAGAGACTCAATTGTATGAAATATTGGACCCTCTTTCAGGCCTCCCCGGGCGGAATTTTGGAATTGGAAAACATTGTGACACAGTTGTATTACGTTCCAATGCCATGTTCAACTTTTGACAGAAAAAAATAGACATACTTAAATAAAAAAAAAACAAAAAACAAAACTATCTTCAGAGTAACAGGAAACATTCAAGTTTTTGGAAAAAAAACCCCATATATATATATATATATATATATACACACACACACACTTTTTTTTGTGATATTAGTCCACATTTTAAAGTAGAACATTTAAAATATACTACTGTGAAAAACCTAATGTGTTGATTTAATCCCCCACCCCACCCCACCCCGGGCTCGTGTTTTGTATCACTTCAATCAGCCACGCTAATCTTGTGTTTGTGTTGTGAGGTGCAGATGTTGTCATCACCTGTCTGTCTTTATCGGGGCTTTTGCATTCATGTTGACGATCTGGCGGTGATAGTATCTCGCCTGACTGTGAAATGGAGGGCCATTTGCGTTCTGTTTTAAAAGTTCACCAACGTTGCCTTTCCACCAACGAGATGTTTGAATTGAGGCAAACAAAACCCGCAGATGTGTCCATGTTGTGTATGGAAACAAAGTTGTTGTCTCGCGGCGCCACACTGGAGTCGCTATAAAAGCGGCAGGACAAACCTCCCCCTTTTCGTCGTGGTTTCATCATCTGAAAATGCTGAACTTTGCCATCGTGCCCCACCAGGCCCCTTCCCCCATAACCGGCGCACCTTTGGAACAGTATCGCAGACGGTAAAAGATTACACTGTGCGTGTTTGTTTGTGCGAGGGTGCAAACACTGTGACTGGCAACATGTGTCAAACACTTATCTGTCAATGTCACGAGTCTTGTGTTTTGCATGCGGGCTCAGCTGATTGCCAGCTGCTGTTTCTTTATTTTCTTTTTCTCTGTTGAACCACACTAGACTTCTATTATCAACAATATTTGCATTTTGCTGTTGCAAGACAGTTTAGAAGGAAGAAATGAGCCCTTTGTTGTCATTTAAACAAAATACATTTGAACCGACCACCTCAGGTTGAAGAAATTCAATTTTTTCGCAATAGGAACTAATAAGAAGCCTTGCTTGCAATTTCTAAAAACTCACAGATACACCGCTTTGGCTGATTTGTTGGGCTGTCCCAAGCCAATCGACATGATCGGAATTCAGGGTCGATCAGATGCTTACATTTTCTTCATTTCCAGAGTCAAGAATATCATTTTAGTTTTTGCTTGATTATAATCACTGCTGTTTTACAGCCGTGTAAAAATGTTTCATATGATCATAGATTTATTAAAAAAGAAAAAATATATATAATTGAAATCATTTGTATGTGGTCTTTTTCTTCTTCGTTGAATTCCACTGCATAGGTATTGGATCAGAACTCTGAATCGTCAGGTACTCAAAATCAAGTGACTTGGACTTGGATGCAAAAAAAACCCCCAAACAAACAAAAAAATGTTAGATCAGGACATGCCAACTAATTTGTTGACAAACAACACCAGAAGCTGTCACAGGACACGTTGTTAAATTTGATAACTGATGAATTATTTGAAGTCTTACCACTGAAAAGTGACTCTGCTTTCCTTTTGTCATTTAACCCGTTGGAGGTTTTTGATCTAATTACAAGCCTGCTCCCCAACCCCGAAGGAGAAAAAAAAATGAAAATGGTTATTTCTTGTTCTGGTCTGTCTTCTTATTGATCTGCTTCCATTCTTTTTTTCCCATGTCCTTTTCATTTTCTCCTCCATCCATCTCTCCAGTGTCCCCTCCCCCCAAGGCCTCCATCAGCATCAATGCTTACTGAACATCCTTATAGCGACTGCCGAAAAGGAGCAACATTTCCCGCATTATCCTTCGGAACAATGTATTCCTCTGCTGATCTGATATCCCTGAATCGGTGTTAAGCAGCGTTGCTGACTGCGGGAGCCAGAGAGAAGCGGTCCCGGTTGGAACGCGTCAAATAAAAACGAATCACTTTGCCATAATGAAAGGATTAATTTAGCTCGCGAAAGCGTGGCCACGTACAAACAAACGCACGTCTAATGCATTTAATGGACGCATAAGAACACGGCACACGCATTCAATCTTTGGCTCATCTTTCCCATCCTGTAGAGGTCATAAAAAACAGCGACTTTGCTTTTTGCTTCCCCTGCCCGTGTCTTTCAAGGCACAAATCCATCACTCCAACGAGGGGCTCGCCGGTCCCCGTTTGGTCCACCCAATTACTTAGCCCCCTCAAGCACCCCCCTCCCGCTTCTCCTCCGGGCGGGCCGCATTACGTCAGGTTTGGCAGGATGTATTTTTAGCTTGGATGGTCCTTTGGCGCTCCCTGTTCCCTTGCGTGGGGATTAAGTTACCGCCTTGTTGCAAAAAGAACACATCCCGGAAGCCCCACCATGCTTGTCCTGTTGGGGAATTGAACTGAAACCTCCTTAACACAAGTGTCTGCAAAGTGGCCAGAGCCAAGTGAAGCTTTCACTCCGACGCAGCATTGTGAATCGGTAGGAAAATCCTTGTCGACTAGAGTGAGCCGCAGTTGCCAACATTGCCACGTTGGAGCTGTAATAGTCCAACCAAAATATTTACGGTCAACGCCCATATCTTCGCCGTTCCGTGTCCTCCAATTCGCAGTTGCTTTGTTTTAAAACCGATCCTCAGTTATTTGCTGAAAAACACACCGTATCGCTGTTCTTATGCTCAGGCTATAACGGTATTGCTTTGGCGCCATCTGGTGATATCTTTGGGCTGAAGTGAGTTGAGGATCTTCATTTCAGACAAAACTACTCTTTTGCCGCCATTGTGTGGCATCTGAAGGCAATTAAAACTCATTCAGTACCACCCAATTCTAGACCCAGTCTGAAAAGACGTTTAAAAACGTCTTTGGGAGTGAATGAGTTACAGTACGGAATAAGCTTATTAGAACGCTATAGCAGGGCTTGGTCTCCATTCCTTGCAAATGGGGGGGGGGGGGGGGGTGTCACTCTCAGCGGGATATGAGCACAATTATTGCACAATCAGATAATTAGATGACGTCAGCATCGGCGCCTGGCGCTTTCAACATGACATGGGCAGAAGGCGACAATGTATCACATGAAATGTATGAAGGCTAATGTGGAACGACAAGAATGTTGTGATTTTTCTCTGCCCTTTTCAGGGCTTCAGAGCAGCGGATGTCGCTCACATTTGTCAACTGCGGGTGTGTGAAGCCCTTTAAGACGCTTGTGATTAAGGGCTATAAAAATACACTTGAGGGTTACTGAACCCTCTTTCACACAGAGACATCAGGGAATTACCACAGCATAGTCCAGCGACGCGGTCTATGCCTGCAATGTTTGCGGTTTCATACCGCGAACACTGCCGCATCCCGAAATCAAATGATTGGATGTTGTCTGGCAGGTAGAAAATGGTTAAACTTTTGACAAAACAGGGCAGGAAACGTGAGCCTCATAGATGGGGAGGATTTGTGCCTTTAGGTTCCGGGTGGACGCTGGAAGACGCAGGAGACAGTCTCCTACAACCTCAGATGGTGAAAAATTCCTCGGTCGACTTCTTCTCTGCTCTCCTGTTTACCGACAGTGTGGAAGGGGCATAATGTGCATTCATGGCTCCCTACCATCAGCCCCGTGGTTTAGGTAGCCTGCATATATGAGGGCTTAGATTTCCGGATCTCTATAGAATTTGGTCTGCGGTGAAGAGTGAACGGATAAGTGCTAACGTTGCTGTCAGACACCAGAAATTACATGCTTGTTATAGAGAAAACTCTTTCGAAAATACATTGGACTATTTTCAGTTCCCTACCAACCCCGTCTTGTCGTCCTTTTTTTTTTTTTTTTTTTTTTTTTTTTTTGCTAGCTGCTGAAGTATGGAGAAGGCTGTTGTGAAGCCATCAAATTTTCCATCTTTTATTCCGTTAATACAGAACAGCAACATAGAATTGTGGTACGAAGATGTCCCAGTGTGCTGGATTTTGTCTGAAATTTTATTTGGATCAATGCCGGATTTTCCACTGGGACGTTTTTACCCATCTGTGTGTGTGTGTGTGTGTGTGGGGGGGGGGGGGGGGGGCGGTGCTTTAGTTGCCTTCAATGTGTTCCTTCTTTGTCCCGAAAGTCCCAGCCCATCGGAGAAGCCCTCCCGTCTAACTAGAGCCACTGTTAGGACTTTGAAACAGCAATTGTGCAAGGTCTGCGTGTGAAGTGGGCTTCAGTTTCCCTCTGTGCGTTCCTTCTGGCCTTCGACAGTCCGTGCCCACTCGACAAAAACTTCCTGTCTGCTTTGGTCTACTATTGCGGCTCTGACGCAGCAATTGGTCAGTGTCTCTGTGTGAAATATTCTTCAGTCACCCTCAACGGGTTTTTGATTACTGTTAACTTAGCCTGAAACTGAAGAAAACCTTCCAGTCTTCTGAGATCTTCTGTCACAATTTTACCGGTTCTATCAGGTTCCACCCAGCCCCAACCTACTCTGAGAACTGGACCAAATCTTCCCGTCCTCCTCCTGCTGTCATAACCGGCATCTCCGCAGATCTGTTGCAGCTTGGATACCCAAATTTTGCGGGAGATCTGTGAAAGCAGATTATGGCAGCAACAAAGCAAAGGTTCACAGCTGAGGCATCAGGAAGCGGTGATGACACCCAGACCCCATGCCGCCAGTAATGCACACAACGTCCCCTCTCAAAGAAAGCTTTGGAATGTTTTCACACTGCGACCAAGTGTTTGCAGCGTAAACAGTGTGGAAGCAACTGCTTCGCAAACAACAGCCCCCTCGCATCACTCCCCAGGTTGGGCCCCAGCATCATGACAATCTGCATCAAGAGGCTTGTGGCCAGTCGCCGGTTGCATTTTCTTCGCCGTCCTAATCACCTTTGTAATCTCTTCCTTGACCCGGTTCGCTCCGCCTGGCATCACAGCGGTCTTGTTTCCTGATTCTAAACAGCCAATCTGTTGCTTTACCCCCCTTAATCCATTTCATTCAGCCCTTTTTAGATGGCATCGGCAGGAGGGCGTCAACAGTTCATACGGACGCCCCTTTCAAGGGTTTAGGTTTCCATGGCATTCAGTCACTTTCACGATCAGCGTAATATTTTCCTTTTTCGAAGGGGACAGAAGCAATGAGTCAGTCATTGCTATTTATGAAAACAACACACACAGTCAATGAGAGCTTTCCACTTTGTCCTCATGCTGCAGTCATGCCGATGTGACCATTTGGTGTCACATTTGGCTCATGTGTTGAGCCTTGAATGCTACTCAGTTCTGTGGAGAGACCGTGATCTGACCAATTAAGTCATTTATTTGAGCACCGATGACATACAAAACATTCACGATTGCAATCGTTAGGATTACATTTGTCATCTGGTACCATTTCGTTGCCTTAAATGGTCTTTTTGCTTCACCCCGCCGCCCCCCTTTCGGTTTGGTGCATTATTTTTTGCTTTAACGACACATCTCCGTTCAGAGCCTTAAAGACACATGCGCTGCCTCAATATAGTATGTCAGCTAAACTGATAAAAGGATGATATAATAAACGGACGTCTGCATCCGAACGGTGACTCAGCGAGCCTAAAGGGAAAGACCCGCGGGGAGACTCTGTATGGGCTGACAGTGTCTAAAGAGTACGTGGGCGTAGGCAATAAGGCACCACTTACTGAATGATGCTGAGGAAATCTGAAATTATAATTATCAAGCTATCCTTTCAAGAATTTGTGTTTTTCAAGGAGTTAAATAAGTTCTCAGTGCAATAGCGGAGAGTCGAGTTGACGTTGGAAACGGAACCTTGAGCAGCCAAAAACAGCTGCTTTGAATTTCCTCCAAATCCCCAAAGTCATCACTCTCCACACATGGTACACAATGAAGAGCAGGGCAACCTTGTCATCATGTCAAGTGGCCGTGAGGCAGCAGCCTGAAAGCAACGCTGGCTTTTGGGTTGGTTGTCCCCGCTTTCCGGTGATCACAGCGTGACTTTGCAACAAAGCGCAAGGTATGACGCTGATATCCCCTCCGGGTTATGCAAGCGCTAGCTTTCACACAGTCGTTGGTCTCCTCCGTCACACTTTGACGGAACAAATAACTCCTTGGAATACCCCCGCCCCCCTCCCCCATATGATCTTCTACCCAGAAGGGACATTTGGTTGACACTTTGGACCAATGCCAGCAGTGTCATTGATGTATGCATTCAACCGCATGAAAGGAATGACATTGGAACCTCCAAAGTTTAACATAATCCATTGTGTGATGCCGGTCCATTCCATATTTTTTTTGGAATTCACAGAAATTAAAATGTCATTCTTCTCCGTGGTCAGCAGACGGTAGCCCCACTTCATCAAATTATAATTGCATCATTCATTTGCTCATTGCGATGCATTTAGTGATTAAAGGGCTCTTCTGGAAACTATGAAAACGACATATTTGGTGTCTCGTGCAAAAATTGACAAATGATAGAACTTGGTATGAAAAAAAATTAAACTATAATTGTGAAACCTATTTTAGCCACATTGTAGCCAGAGGATTTGAATGGACTAAAAATGGCCACGATGGAGTCTAAAGGCACAAAATAAAAATGAAATTCTACATACGTTTAAAGAGCTGAACTTGAACCATATAAAAATCAGGTTTCATTGCATTAGCATCCAGTAAAACGTTTCAAAATAGGATGCAAGGTCGGCAGAGGTGACAAGCCTTCACGGCTCCTCCAGTTGTTTTGTACGTTTTCATGCTAACGTTGCACTCCCGCCAACAGACGTGAAGAAGGACTGGTCGGACCACGCGCTGTGGTGGGAGAAGAAGAAGACGTGGCTGTTGAAGACCCACTGGACGCTGGACAAGTACGGCATCCAGGCCGACGCCCGGCTGCTCTTCACGCCGCAGCACAAGCTCCTGCGCCTACAGCTGCCCAACATGAAGCACATGAAGGTCAAAGTCAACTTCTCCGACCGCGTCTTCAAAGCCGTCTCTGACATCTGCAAGACCTTCAGTAAGTGGAGCGATATCATTTATCCCCCCTGCCTCAATATTACGGAATCTCACGCGTTGTTCCGCCAATTCCTCCCCACTCATGTTTACCCAACATGCTCAGTCAGCTCTGCCAACCGGTAGCACACTGTTTTCTCTCGACTCATGTTCTTGGAAGCCGGGCTCCATTTTGTCTTGTCTTCTATTTGGTAAACAGACATTATCATTTTTGGCTCGGAACGCAGCGAGTGGAAATCATGCAATATCAAACGCCCGCTCACTAGGATGATTCCCAAAGACAGGGGAGATGAGAGCGTGGATGATGTCACGTGGTTGGATGTCTGGGTAGGTTCTCGTTGACAAACATGCTGCTGTCGACACAGCAGGACAAGAGAAGTCAATGTCAGGTGTGACACTTCACACCCTTATCGTGGTACTACTGAAAACCTTTTAGGCCTATTCCTACTGCACTTGGATTTCTTTGTGCTGGCTGCAGAGTAGCACGCGAGGATGGCAGCACCCCCGGTACAAGCTTGACTATATTTGGACAACGGCTCGAGTGCATTTCTCCTTTATTTGTACTTTTCACACTTGTTTTTTCTTTTTGCACTGTAATAAAACGCTTGCACTGTAAGATGCTGCAACCGCGAGGACGGACGGATCTGGCCCGTGTTGCCTCAGCGAAAAATGCAACCTGATGGAGATGCGGCCGGGGACGAGAGCCTTGGCTAAAATGAAGTTGTGACAGCGACACAGGACACCTGACGGTGTTAAAGGAGCTGAAATTCCTGACGAGTTCAGAGTTGATTTCTCTGGCCCTTCACGTACGACTTTGTACTTCACTTTGATCGCCCATTTTACAGAGACTCTCCACAAATTGCACATTTTTCTTGGCTTTAAGTCACGAGGCCCCTTTCACAGATTTTCTCCTTGTGCTTCTTCTGCAAGAAGTTGTTTAAAAGGGACCGCCATCCCCAGTTCTGCACTATCCTATGACAGAGCCAACAGTCAGGTTAGCCACCTTTCACCTCTGACTGCCCACTTTTACTCGGCCACCAGTGCCCCCTTTGAATCTGTCCATCACGGAGTGTCCGAGCACACCTGTTGCGTCCTTTTTAATGAATAGTGTTCAGCAAGCTGGCAGGATCATGTGACGGTGTTCCTGTTTTTTACCGGCCCTGTCTGAAATTTTCAAGAATGAACTATTTTATTCATGAAATCAAAAAGCTCCTCGACGCTATGATAGCCAAAGAGCAAATGACACATTTTTATGGAGTGTAGCGACACAGGGACATTGTTTTGGAAGGTAGCGAAACAGGCTTCTAGCTGGCCCGGTGCGGAATGCGTTTGTAATATATCTATTTTTGCAGCTCAAAAATTTAGCACAACTTGTCTTTGGCAATCTTGGTGCATACCGAGGCGGTACTTGATAGTTTGGTTGCAAAACGCAGAGACGAATGTGCCCTTAGTAAGAGTGGATGTCAAAAATATTCAACATTCTGGCAGAAAGTCATGCGCTCGTCCTCATTCCTAATAATTTTTTATTAGAAGGAGCTTGTCAACTTGTTCTTGTTGAGATTAATCCTTGACGTTTTCTATTGACTTCAAAATTGGCACGAATCTCTTCCTATGATGCAAACAAACTGCAATTTCCACTTCTAGCTTCGTTATCACTACTCAAAACTCCTTTATACGTAGACTCCCATTCACAAGTAGTGTCGGAAGTCCAAAGAACACTCCCATCGTAACAACTTCTCCCATGTTCCTGGGCAGTCCGACACAGATATCGGGCTTTGATGAGAATGTTTCGCTTTTAATACGTACTATAAAAATCATCACAGTTCCGCCCCCATCTTGACCTTTTTTCCATTCGGCACTTGGACGTCAAGTCATGAGACGATCACGCACAGGGACTTTTGCAGCCTTTTTAAAACTCATTCAGTATCACCCAATTCTAGACCAAGTCTGAAAAGACGTTTAAAAACGTCTTTGGGTGTGAATGAGTTAAGGAATTGACGATGACAATATGTGTGGCCGTTCCACTCCAAACTCTTGCGACTTTAATGCAACCGTGCCAGTTAAAACGCGTGGGCTGCAACGTTTTATGATGCAGTTCCACTACGTTGTTTTGTTTTCCACCAAAAGCACCCATCTGCCACTAATTAGAATCGCCTCCTCGCCCATTTGCGCAGTCAGACATGGGCTCATCTTGTCTAGACATCCCAGAGTTGACTTCAAGTCACCTTTTCCCGTGTTATAAACCCCGACACAGAGCGCCATTGTTTACCTCCTCATGCTCGAGTCTTCACAAGTGACTAACGCATGACCGGAGCTGCAAGTCCAAAGGTGCAGCAAAAAAAAAAAATAAAATCATTCTATTACCCAGCTAAGTACCACCACTTAATGTAAACAAGAATCAGGTTGCACCACTTTAGCGGCATCTGAACGACTTTAGCTAGTATTTGTGCAAAGACAGGCACGCACTGTAGAAAATAGCAAAGCTCTTCAAGTGTGGAACCTCACAATCTGTGCCAGAACTTTTTTTGAGTTGCACTGATTTCAAAACTAGGCGATTAATAAAGGTCGGTTCATAAAACAATCTCTTGGCTTACACTTGTCGCTATAATGTCAGCAGTTGAATTGTGATATACGATTATGATCGCTACTGAGCGGAATCAAGAGTTTACCCTTCACAGACACCGACTGGAATTTCTCCATCCAGCAGTTTATTAGTCTCATCTTCATTGATTCCAGTGTTATTGATCCTCCAAGCCAGGAAGCTTCGTGAGTCACTCTCTTTGCATCATCGAAGGTGCGTGAGGGAAATATCAGCAGACACAATCGCCCCTCGTTTTAGTCCATTTAGGGTCTTTTTGGGGTGCGGGGGGGCTGCGATTGCGTTTTCGCTCCGTAAATTTAGAATATGATGGTTCGTGATTGGCCGTAGTCAAGCAGTGAATCATGTGTTCCAGGGAGCGCACGTCTCCAGCACAGCTTTTTAGGTTATTTTTTTTCATGACTGGAACTAAGTCAAGCCCTCAGCTCTGGCTGTAAGCCTGCTCACCACCACAAGTCTGCAGGATGGAAGATTGACTCTTCTTCTGGAGGTGTCAATTCCGCTAATGGATCCTTTTTTTTTTGTGTGTGTGTGTGCGTGTGTAAGCGTCAACACTCTAGGCCGCAAGTATGTGGCATGTGTCGGTAAAGTTTTTCCCGCCAGCTAGTAAAATATTATGAACCTATAATTCAACATACGCTGACTGGGTCCATCAGCAATAAATTAGAAAAAATACTAGCGGGGAGCAGTGAGTCACGTGCGTCTCTATTGTTTCTCTGCCAGGTAAATTCTGCTTCTGGTGGTGTTTTTTGTTTGTCTGAATATTCCCAGAAACAAAAATCCTCGGGGCGGTTTTGTTCCCCCCCACCTCACCAAAGTTAGTGAAGTTGCAGCAAATGGAGACTTTGTGTCAGATTTGCTTTTGAGGAAGAAACACAACAGCCATTCATAAAATGTTGGTAACGAGATTAGTTGTACAACTGAACGTCAAAGTTAATAACCATCCACATTTTTAAGGTGTCATTTTAACCTTCTAAAGTGTATTGCAAGTGTAAAAATAAGTTGACTGCTGTTGATAAAAAAGAAAAAACCTTGAAAATATCAAATAGAATGTTCTGTCTCACAAGTTAAGCTTTTATTACTTTTTATTTTAAGCAAGTTCTACCCGTCAGTGGCATCACAAAAAAAGACAAAGAAAGATGTTTTAAAAGCCCACTGAGCTGAAGTCATGAGCAATAATATGGAAAGATCCAGGATTTTGTATGCATTTTGAGCTGTTATTTTTCCCTCCTCAAAATGTTTGTATTATGTACTATACTTGGTCTTCATTATTTGGTTTGTTGCAAATTCCAAAAAGGGTATTGCAATTACTTCACCCCCCATCATCTCTCAGTCGTAAGTTAAAATGCCACGTGTCTCTCAAAACACACACACACACACACACAGACTTGCTCAGTGGGTCTGAAGCTCTGCAGCACGCCTGCACCTCACATGGCTGTATAAGGGCACAGGGATTGTGCTTGAACGCTACAGTGAAGCCAGAGGAGGAGAGAGGGAGAGCGAGCGAGCGAGAGTGAGCGAACTCCCATCTGGTAGTTTTTAATACTTTGGAATGCTTTTGCTTTAGTTACACAAAGCAAACAAGGAGCTTTCTTGCTACCATGTTCTCCCTCTGCTCACGCTTCCCTAAACAGACTCTTCAATCACACCGCCGCCAGCCGTTATCCCGCTTCCACGAAACCAAGAGCGGAACCTCCAAATGTTTCACTGAAAATGACACCTTTTGAAATGTGCATTTCAAACCATCGGGTGACGTTGACTGTTTGGTGGAAATGCCAAAAGCATCATGGCGGGTGGTTATCATGGTGGATTTGATCACAGAAGGACATTGTCTGTCTGTTGGGCATCTTCAAAGTGGGGAGCAGTTTTATTGTCGAGTGGTAAACTTATTTTAATACTTGCATGACTTGACATCAGCTCTCTGGCCCTGCTGACACGTTTAGAACCATCTTGCCGCTTCCCCCGCTCCAAGCCTACCATCTTGTGACATGTCTGCCTATGCGCGCTGATGCTTCCGTGGCCTCTGAAGAAACATAGAAGGGGGTAAAGAGTGGAAAGAAACTGCTCTGTTTTAGTCATTATATCAAATTGTGAGCTCTTCGAGCACACGTGCACACTTGAACTCACACACACGCACGCACACACACACACACACACACACACACACACACACACACACACACACACACACACACACACACACAACAAGATGTGTTTAAAGTTCTACGGTTCGGCAGCAACCCAATAGCACTTTTGCGTGTGTGCATGAGTTTGAGAAATGGTTGTTGAAAGTGGGGGTGGGATGGTTGAGGTTGTCTGGCCTGTCTCACTTGGGGATTACACTCCAAGCAAAGATTTGTGGGGGCCTTGAGAAAAGGGATTTGCCATTTTTCCAGTCCTCATGCGCTGCAGCTGTCTCTGAATTTCTTACCTTCTCCCGTGTCCCTTTTGCTGGCTCTCTCCATAGTCGTTTTTCACACACATTTAAAAAAAAAAAAAAATTATTCTTAATGTTGGCCTTTTAAACCCTGACTTTTCCCTTTAGGTTCAAACAATGAACCGTCTGTTGATTGTTCATCCCGTATCTCCGCAGATATCCGTCACCCGGAGGAGTTATCTCTACTGCGCAAGCCGCGTGATCCCAAAAAGAAGAAGAAAAAGTTGGAGGAAGCCGAGGAGGATGATCTGGAGTTAGAGGGTCCGTTGTTAACCCCCGGATCAGGTCAGTCACTGTGGATATTTTGTTTGATATCAACTCAAACGTGTCAGGCACAGATGGGTTCCCAGGGGGCCTCCATTTTGAATTTTGGTCCGACAGCCACCAAAGGTGCGTCGATCCAAATATACGAGCCCTTGCGTGGCCTCTCCTGCCCTGGCTTCCTTGGCGGGGAGGATGACGGATGGTTGAGATTCCACACATAGTTGGTCACGCTGCCATTTTAACCCGCCGACTGTGCTACACACCACCACCACCACCAACCCACTTTAGCCTAGCCAGTGCTGAGTTACGACCCAAGTGGGCGCCGGAGAAGGGTCAGCACCACTTTCACTGTTAAACCTAAGCACACAGAAAATGATCGTGCCATTAACATGCCAAAAACACACTATTATTATATATATATTTTTTTTTATAATGGAGGGCAGCGGCAACACCCAAAAACCCACGTCATTACATTTCCTCCTGGGTGTCTTTCTTTCGATGGGCAGATATATTATTCCTGTTTGATGGTGCCAAGGGTTCACTTAACGACAAGAATGTGCACAATCTGTTCTGCCCCCCCCATCAGATCACATGCTATAGCTAGCCAAATTGCTCTGCGTTACTCCGTCCCGTGTGTGAGGGCCTGCCCGAGTCTCCTGATTGAAATCACAATGAGGGAGGAAGCGATGCAATCACTTCCAAAGCCGACGTGGTTACTTACTCCTGTTGCACACTTAATGTACTGAGCATAGTATTGCGCACAGCTGGGATGGACATTTTTCCTTCAATTCCTTCATCTGTCATTCATTAGGATAAAAAAAAAAAAAAAAAAGAACCCTCGATTCATTTTTGCTTTCAAATGTTTTCCAACGGCAAACCATTTTGAACCTCTGTTTTCATGCCAGCGTCTTTTGAACAATGTCAGCACTGCCCCACGAGGAGTTATGCGTGAATATTGCTCAAATGCAACTGGCTTGAAAGATCATTTCCACAATAATCCTCTGTTGCTTGTGGAGGCTCTCAGTCGTTAAAAAATTTTCACCCTCTCTGAACCGTGAAGGAGGTATCAGATTTAACCTGTCTCCTATTTACAATAACTTGTTGACCAGTAAGGGACATAGACATGCTGATCAGGCTAACTGAAAGTAGCTATTCAGCCTTAGCCCAAACAATAGGCCTAATCAAGACCCAATGATAGGGAGTTTAGAAACCAATGGGCCTCTTCACCATAGGGGCGTGACTAACCATCCCCACCCAGTCCTCAAACAGGCCACGCTCAGCCTTTTAGCGCAGAGCAACTTCCCGGAGTCTTCACGGAGACTTCAGGGTTGTCTACCGCTGACGAAGCTTCTGTGAGAGAAGCGAAACGTCCTTTTTTGTTTTTTGTTTTTTGACAATAATCCTCTGAAATTTTCAATGGAAATTTATGACCGTGCTCGGCACGCGCCACTGTTTATTTATTTATTTATGTTAAGTCAGATTCTCGACGGCACGGGAGAAATAGCAGAGCGTGGATGTAACTCAACTTCCCTTAGCTGACTGCTTTCCTCTTGAGATGGCAAACACATTTTGATTGAATCAACAGTGCCTCCGTTGGTCGCTGCGAAGCGGTGGTGCCCCATTTTGCTGAAAATAATCAGTCATGTCCAGAGGTTAGTTTCTCCCCACCTATTATTAACTTTATTTTAAAGAGAATTTCGGTTTCATACCCACATTTGAAAATGATGTTGAAACATAAATAAGAGCGACCTGCCCCAAATAACAGTCTGTGGATAGCCCTGAGGCGATTTGACCAATTATTTCCACTTGGAGACTGACGACTTCACCCTCTATCTTTGAAATTAGAAGATGTCTAGTGCCAGGAACTTTAAAGAACATAGAATGAGTCCATTTTAAAACTTGAGCTAGTGTCTCCCCGGCCAAGGCTGGCATGCCAGTCCATTGTGTTGAACATGGGTCAGCATGTTGGGACACTTGGGAGTGTCACAACAACGCCTCGCCTGTTTTGACACTTGAATGAGTGTCTCGGATTGGGCGGACCTTCCATGCCTCAACCAAGAGGCTAACTTGCCATTATCGCTCTCCCCTCTGAAAATGACCATTATCTCCTCATACCTTTTTTTTTTCCTTTCGCTTCTGTTTCCTTCCCTCCTTAATATTCCCAGTGACATTTCCTCCGCTGTCCTCTCTTTTCCCTGCCTTTCTGTCCTCATTCTAGCCTCTGAGATAATATACATCGGACCCGTCAAAGGTAAGCTTTCCCCCTCTGTCCTCTGCTGTTTCTGCAGCACTGCTTCCTCACCGACGCCTTCCTTCTCCTTCATCCCCCGCCCCTACCACGGCTGCCGTGTGGTGATCACATGACATCCATAACCTTCGCAGGGCTCGCAGTCGTCCTGGTCGTCTGATTTTTCTGAGCGAAAGTCAGCTGACCCGGAGGGCAACGTTATGGGAGCTTTGGCCTCCCTAAAACTGGGCATAGGCGGTCATTGGTGCAAATATTCATAAAGCACTGATTGAACAAAAGTCCTTTAGGTGTTGTTGGCACGCATTTCAAATACATTGCCAACTGTCCATTCAAATCAAGAAAAAGAAGACATTTTCACCGTCCGTCTTCGAAATGCTAATTGCATAAACAAGACTTGCAAAAGGTAAAATTTTTGGTTTGGCAGAAATGAGGCAATGTATCCATCAACTCAGGTCTGCAATGAATAGTCAATGAATACTTGAGGTACGTATGTGTTGACTCCTTATTGCTGCTTCACAAAAAAATTAATAAAATTGAATCTCTGAAACTTTTGTATGTTGGAGAGAACATGTGCGAGATTACATTTCATGGTGAAAAAAAATTGTTCAGGTCATGTGATCCACAAGGCCAATTTCAAGGTCAAATTATTGGTCAATAGGTCAATTTACCAAAATATGCACCAATCTTTGAAACAATTTAAAATTCTGTGGGCCGGAGCTCCCACTGCTCCGATTGCCCGAAAATTTCAGATTTGCTGTTTGTGCCATTACTGTCGACAAGTACAGCAATCTAAATCTGCTTAATTCAAATAAATGATTTGGCATGGAAAGATGGAATGAATGCCACTCAAGTGTCTCAGATTTGCCAATTTCTCAAAAGTCTGCCTGACCACTGACCAAATTCCTCCAGTTTTCCAAGACTTGGCATATAAAATTCAGGCCAAATCGTACAGTTTATGCCTCACTTTTGAATCTAGTAGCTTGCTGTGTGAGCTCTTCACTGTAAAATCCGTTTTTAGAGGAAATTCCACCATTTTAAGGAGTGAGAAAGTTTACATCTCAGTCTCAACAGCCTTTGGTGGTCTATCTACAAATCCCCTGTGTGGGAGTCTTCGGGAGTTGATGCATGTAAGCATTCGAAACGACTTTGACTCGCGTATCATCGAGTTTGTAAACAGGATGGAGGAGTTGTGTTTTTGAACCGGCTTTCCCCCCCCTTGTACATTTTGGGATTTCTCTCGAGACGCTGATGGGAGTGACTGGTAGCTCTCTTCCTGACCCGCTGAACTCGGGCATTAAAGAAAATCCACCAAGCAGTGCCTGAATAACACTCTTCTCTGCTGAGGATGTGCACCCCCCCCCCCAACCCACCCCCTCAAGCTTGCACCATGTTCTCATGACCTCCGTTTCATACCCAAAGCAAGCCCACTTCCTGATTGCAGAAGGGATTCAGTACAGTGTTGTTTGTTGACGGGACAGAAGGGGGGGGGGGCAGCAAAGGAGGGGAAACAAAGTTTGATGGCAACAATAGGATCCGATTCACATACTTAATTCTTCAATATTGCGGCACTTGAGCTCACATACACGGAAAGCTTTCCGCTTTCTCCCTGTGCCGAGTTGTGCGATGTCGTGTTCTGTGTGGAGTGCACTCCTGCCCTACTCTACTCACAAAGGGGGTCCACACATAAAGGTAATCTGGCAATTTTCCAGCATGATTTCCCTCTTACAGACGAAAGCCGGCAAATGCCTGAATCCGCCTTTCCAAAACGGACGTTATTTAAAATATATCCTCTGAGTCTTACCGAGAGAAGATGCAATGGCGATCCCACATAAGCCAATAGTTGTCTTAGCTTATTTTTGCGCTGGTGTGTGCGTGTGTGTGTTGGGGGAGGTCTCAATCTTTTGTGTGTACCCCCTTAAAATGGGTAAACCCTGATCATCTCGTGCATCGTGTGCATGCTAATCCACTTCAATCCCACCAGGACACCATTGTTGAAGCCATTTCATGTGCAAAACGTGGAGCTGGTACATGGCTGGGCTGCTAATAAGTGTGAGAGTGCTCACATTTCGCATTTGTCAACGTGCACTTAACTGTATCGTGGAGCACCTAAACATGTTTTGGGGCGCAATCATTCAGGCGATGATGCAAGCATGGAATTTGGTATGACTATCAATGTCCATGATAATAATTTGCGGGGGGAAAAAAGTGCTTGTCATCAAAAACTTTAAAGGACCATTTTATTTTCAAAATGGCTACCAGTGCAGTGAAAACTGCCACAAACTATATTAAAAAGACAAACAAACATTGAGGTAGGAGTGACTACAACTATCTGGATAGTCTATATATGTCACAGGATTTCAATGATATTGGATGAGCCATACGGTTACGTTAAACGATAACCATTCATGATGTGCGGTGGACCTGTATGGATGCACACTGAAAGGCAATAAATAGTGTCATAAATCTAATTGTGTTGACCAATATGTAGTCATCTTGTGGAACATAGCATATACCTCAAAGGTGGTGAACATTTTGGCAAAGAAAGCCCAAAAATAATTTTCATTCACTGCACTTTGCTTATTCATCAACCAATATGTTGACATTTCTTCATGGTAAATGTCATATGATGTCATAAGGAGTGTTTGTTGGCCAGCACTTTTTTTTCCCCTCAGTCTATCCCACAGTGAGTATAGCTCATGTTTGAGTCACCAGTTGAACAATTTTATTGACTTATGTGCTCCACCGCTAGTTGGTTTGGTTGGCCAAGTTTCTAACGTGAGCCCCTGAACGGATGACTTTCAGGAAGCATCTACTCCAGCCCGGGCTTGTACAGCAAAACCATGACGCCCACTTATGACTCACGAGACGGCAGCCCGCTGTCCCCCACGTCAGCCTGGTTTGGCGACAGCCCCCTGTCGGAGGGCAACCCCGGCATCCTCGCCGTCAGCCAACCCATCGCCTCCCCGGACATCCTAGTCAAGCTCTACAAGCCGCAGTCTCTACTGGACAAGGCCAAGATCAACCAGGGGTGAGGGACCCAACCGATTTGTTTGGTGCACGAGATTTTGCTGGGGGGGTTTTTTTCCGACAAATGCCACTCTGTATGTCCAGTTGGTTGGACTCCTCCAGGTCTCTGATGGAACAGGACGTCAAGGAGAACGAGGTGTTGCTGCTCAGGTTTAAATACCACAGTTTCTTTGACCTCAACCCGAAGGTAATTATCCATAAAAAACAGTCAACACAGTTTGTTCGGAATATTGCGATCAGGTTGAACTGCGTTCAAGCATTTGCATGACAGTAGAAACTCTGAAGACAGCACAATCTGTTGCAGGATGTTGGTCAAACTGACTCGGTCACATTTAAAATAAATCAATCAAATTAATTCTCATTGTGAATACTGTAAATATTAACGTCCACTGTCAAAGTGTTTTCATGAAACAAACAATTGAACATGCAGTTTCACATTCCAAAAATGTCATAAAAAGTACAAAGGAGAGTTCATCGGTGTATAATAAAACTCCATTTAAAAACTAATCACCCTTTGAAAACCTCTAACGGACACGTAAATGGTGTGGAAGGAAACGGGATGCTAGCGATAAGCCACAACGCCGTTAACACGAGCAACTGTCGGGCATTTCGATATATTCAAATGATATTAACGTGATTTATCATATTGCCGAGGTCTGGAACTGTCATGCAAACGTCCATGTTAGGATCTTGGGTTAGTGTCACCATTTTTTTCCTGTTATTTTTATAAGCATCTTCATGATAATTTTGTTTGTAATTTACCGTATACCGAAGGCTTTCCAATGCTGTGGTAAGTTTTACGGAAAGTTCCATGGTGCTCAAGTGATATTTTATTTTAAACCATCGTAGATCAAAATAAGTTCAGCCCTGTTAATATTCAGTTGTAAAAACAAAAAACGCTTAACATGACTCATTAAGTTTGTCCTTGAATGCTTGTTAAAGTGACAGTCTTGTGTGACATAATCCTTGGTGGCAGTCCATCTTTTGGAATCAATGTTGGTGAAGAAAAATACAATTTGAGATGGAAAACAAAGTGTGACATCAGGGGCTTTTGACCGAATTGTTTCCACTGCCTTTTTGACTGTCATGCTCGACAGCCTGCTTTGGTGTGCAAATATTAACGACTAAACAACCTCTGGGTCCCCAGTACGACGCCATAAGGGTGAACCAGCTCTACGAGCAGTCCAAGTGGGCCATCCTGCTGGAGGAAATCGAGTGCACGGAGGAGGAAATGATGATGTTTGCTGCGCTGCAGGTAAAGTTGACCTGACTTTGGATGCTTCGTCTGCAGCTGAAATGGGCACGATGATGATGGCACGACGTTCGGCGTGGCGGTAGACCTGAAGCTCGCTCAAAAAGAAACAAAAAAGCGATATTTATGTCATAAATGGAAAGAATTCGAAATTGGGGCACTGGGAAGTAAAGGTTTGATGACTGTAGTGAACAGTATTTTTTTGGGGGGGGGGGGTTGGACGTAGGGGTGCCAGGATCTTTAGGACACCACCCTGTCTTCACCCTCGGGGTTAATTATAGAGCATCTTCAGGCCACAGGATGCTGCGTTTTGCCCGTCACGCCCCTCGGACCAACCAGTGCCCGGCGGGCCAGTGTTGTCGCTCATGAGTTTCATCTGCGCGGTTATAATTAACTGGTTTCCCATTACTCCTCACTCGGGAGAGATGCTAATCCAACTTGGGTGTTTGGACGCTCCCCGCTGTTTGAGACTATTTTTCATCAAGGGTTGCATGAGCTCACGGAGTTGGCTGAGGTTTCACGAGCGGGGAAGGTGGATACTAGAGTCTAAATAAAGAGCCCGCAATTCCCACATTCAGTATGTGGACGGCCACTGTTGGCGGCACATTCAGATGAGATAATCAGGTGTTAGAAAATAGACTCGGGCGTCGTTTTGAACTTTGCAGCTAACAGGAAACAACCTCGCCAGGCCTTGCAAATGTTTAAAAGGCAGCCGCAGAGGAGTGATGAGTCACGTTTGCGCCCTTTGTCCCACATTGGCTAACCTGAACGATGAGAATGTGTCTGTGTTTGTTTCACGGGTCGACAGCTGTTCTTTCAAATAACAGAAGAGGATCGGCATTAGAAATAGTTTGTCAACAACTTGTGTTCAGTGTTGTCGGAGCTAACGTTGATACTTATCCTTTCTCTTGTCACCCCCAAGGCCTTTGGGCTTGGTGCTGTCCACCTTGCCTCCATTTTGTCAACCATTTTTGCTTGGTTCATTCAAATGTAATGAAACTAACCAATGGTGTCAGTGTTTATCTTGATTTCGTCATTTCCAACCTCGGCTACCCGTTTGCTCAATCGTGTTTACATTGGAAAATATTACATTATAATAGAAATCATATATATAAATATAATTTTCAGTCTTCAAAAGAGGTGTTTTCATGGCTTTTGGCACTCCAGCAGAGCAAATGAATGACAACATTTAGGTTTTATGTTGATTTCATGATATAAGTGATTTGTGTCACGAGTGTGCCCACAGTGATGAACAAATTCAACTGATTTCCAGTCATGGAGTGCAACGCGTATTTACCGCCCTCCCTCTCGCCCGCCAGTACCACATCAACAAGCTGTCCATCATGTCGTCGGACAACCACATGAACAACAGCGAGAAGGAAGTGGACGAGGTGGACGCTGCCCTTTCCGACCTGGAGATCACGCTGGAGGGAGGCAAGACATCCAACGCCCTGGTAGGGAAACACGGCGCTAAATGACAATCCCCCGAAAAGTGCAATAGTTTGAAAGTCCACAAATATTTTCCGGGGAAAAGACATGCGTCAAAAGTGAAAATTAAAACCGCTGACCTTAGAAGGGGATGACAGACGGCAAAGATAGGGTAAAATGTAATGGTAACGATCGAGTGAAGCCCGATTAGTCACCACCTCGAGGGACGGAGCCTTGCTGCAAATCGCAAAAAAACTTAAAAGTAATTGACCTCAACCATATTTTTTTCTTTTTACTGTAATTTCTCATTGATCCCGCAAGAAGGTGTCAAATGACTACTTTTGTCAAAATGAAGCTGCTCAACTCATTCAACAGTTCTTTGGCACCAAGATGCTACCCAATGGCGCCCCCAAAACCCATAAATAATTCAGTTAGGTTTAATGACGCCATTTTGAGCCTGTAACTGATTAATCGTCTTTTCCAATGGCAACACTTGTTTAACCAGTTGCACTCTGTCAGTTGTTCCATCATGGATGTTGAAACCAAATGAAACCGCTTTATGTTCACTTGAGTTTGACATCATTGTTTCATCTTAATTGTTAGGATTTTCTCAGCTTCGGCTAAAATTGATGTATGGATTTATCTTTTTTTTTTTTCTTCTTCCCCCTTTTCCTCACAGGGTGACATCACATCTATTCCCGAGCTAGCAGACTACGTCAAAGTTTTCAAGTAAGTCCGCCGCCGGCTGATACCACAAGACGGCTTGCTCATTCAGAAAACACTATCAAGTGTGGGGGTCCGACGGTGTATTCATCCAAAAAGCAGGAAGCAGGAAACGGCCTTAAATAACTAGTCTGCGAACACGAAGGCCTGTTTCAGATCCACGTCGGGTTGTTTGCCAAAGGCCTTTTTGTTTCGCTTTGAAGTTCAAGAGTAAGCATCTTTGAAAGCATAATTACTCAGTCTTTTGGCTTTGTGCCTTTACTGACAGGCTGGTGTATCTTGAAACGGCGGGGGCAGGGGGGAGTCTCATAAAATGATTGGAGTTGATTAGAAAATGCATTTCCTCTTTGACGCTATTACATCCGACCTTGGCTTTCATTCCTCCTCTTTACTCGCTGCAATGATTCTCCAACTTACTCCATCAACTATGTACGATGTGTTTTCCAGACCCAAGAAGCTGACGCTGAAGGGCTACAAGCAGTACTGGTGCACATTCAAAGACATCACAATTTCCTGTTACAAGAGCAAAGAGGAGGCACACGGGATGCCCGCTCACCAGATGAACCTCAGAGGTGCACATGCATGGAGGAAAAAAAACCCCAAAACTGTCCTTTTCATGCGCGTGTGTGACTGTATGTACTCCATCGACCATTCGAACACTGTGCTGTCGCTGTAGGGTGCGAGGTGACCCCTGATGTGAATATATCAGGTCAGAAATTCAACATCAAGCTACTCATCCCCGTAGCCGACGGCATGAACGAGATCTGGCTGCGATGCGACACGGTGAGCCCGCCGTCGTCACCGTCTGAAACGCTTGATTTTTGAGTATTTGCATTTGGGTTCAATATTGCAATTGCGGGACTTCATTTATTTGTAGGAGAAGCAGTACGCCCACTGGATGGCCGCCTGCCGCTTGGCATCCAAGGGCAAGACCATGGCGGACAGCTCCTACAACCTGGAGGTGCAGAACATCCTTTCCTTCCTCAAGATGCAGCACATGAACCCCGACCCGCAATTCATCGAGCCCATCACCACCGACATCAACCCCGAGTGCCTGGTGTCACCGCGCTACCTGAAGAAGTACAAGAACAAGCAGGTGAGTCGTCGCCGTGTGTGAAGACGTCACTGTTGGACAGTACGTCGAGTGGGGACAGGGAGCCGAAGAGAGATGACGTTTAAAAAAAATTTTTTTAAAAGCAGGAACAGTACATTGCCCTAACCAGTGAGTGTCGACAAGGAAGCAGCGTGACACACCAGACGGTTCAGACGGTTAAGCGTCGTGGCTGTGTGAGTGTTTAGTGGGAGCTTGTTGACTTGTTGATGACTCTGCTGGGGGAGTGGGTCGGGACAGAGTGGCGTCTGATGCTTCCCAGATGGGCGCCTCCTGGCATCGGCCTTGTCTTTCCCTGGAATGCTCTCCCCTCCTCTCCTACTGAGAAACCGATACGATGCTAGACCAACGCATGAGAAAGACTTAAGGGCCCCCGAACCTCAAACGCTTTCTGTTTTACGTTGCCGTCATTTGCCGAGTACTTTCAGAAAAAGTACGGAGCTTATTTTGACAAAGGACGACTAGAAAGTACACGTATTTATTTTCAAATGTCCAAATAAAAATCGCCAGAGAAATAAATACACAAGTACAGACAGATACCTGTAAAATGAAAATATTTTTACTTGGTCTCATGTCACGTGTAAGCCATAATGAATTGTGGATTTGCATGTAAGCCTCAGCTGCTTGTGTGCACACTGGGAACAGCTGAGTACACGATTGCCATCAATGTGTTTGGAGTGGGGTGACGTGGTCTCCGCAGCCGAGGCAGTCCATGTGGTTTGAGTAAAAAAAATAAAAGAACATGGATGACAGTAAAGTCCCATGACTCACGTGATTCCCTTTTTAGCAAACAGCACAGCTAATACGGTTGTGGTCATCGAAGCACCTGGACATGGGAGTCGTGTGAGCAAAAACTGCTTGCGAAAAGCAATGTCAGCTTTGATTCCCCCCCGCCTCCTAAAAGCCCCCCCCCGGGTCCTCTTCAAAGAGGACTTCCTGTTAGCAGAAAGTCCCAGTGGATACGCACACAAGAATTCCCCGTCCAAAGCGCACACATGTTCGGAGAAGAGCAAACAACACCACTATAACAATCAACTTCCTGGGTGTGTGTGGTTCGAAAAACAAATGGCTGGCAGGCATTCTGTGTGATGATTATTCTACATTGCCCTCTTGTGGTTCTATAAGGAATTGCAGTATCAAAATGTGAAAAAATGATCCATTTTAACAATGAATTTTTGTGTGCTGTGGTCCATATAATTTTCCTGATTGGAATTAAGATTTATATTGCATTGTGAAAATGCTTATAATATGATGCTAAATATTGATTAATATGAATGAAAAATAAGAGAAATAATAACAATTTAGCTTTGTCCAAGATGGGGTGTCACCATGCAAAATGTATGTTAAATATGTCATTGTTAAATTAATAATCTTAATACCACCAACTTTCTGTTTTATACCAAATCAAAATTTTTGGGGGGCAGGGGGGGGGTAAGTGAGTATCCTAAAGACTTCGTCAACAGCCAATGGTTTTATGTGTACTTAAGTATTTATTTTTTTCTGCCTATTTCAAAAATATCTCTACTTTTTTCCCCTACACATATATTTTAAATTTTTTTGTTGTTGTTCAGTTTTAGCTGTAAAACTGCAACCAAAAAAATCATACAGAAAAGTTTATTGGCATCCAATTTTTCTTTGTTTTGTCAATTCTGTGCAATTATTGGAATTGATAACAAAAATGTAGAAATTGAAACAATTAAAAAAAGGTGAGTGTCTGAAATGTTTAAAGGAATGGATCCCCAACACAATGTTTTGATCATTCACAAAATAAAGTTGATTTTGGCTAAGTTGTGAACAACTCCGGGATGACCGTAAATGTGGACGAAGCAGACATCTCTCTAAATCGCCACAACTGTTCTTTTCTTTCCTACCCACATAACTTGACTTCCTGCTTCCAATCGGTTTGATTCGTTCTCCTCCGTTTCTCACCCCTTCTCTCCTCCTTCTCCAGCAAGGCTTAATCAGGGATTTGGTAAGTTCATCCCGAGTGTCCATTGGGTGCATGTTTTGAGAAACTGACCACTTGTAGCTAGTAGCCTCCTCTCATGTAACCACATCTTAGTGTCAAATAGCGGCGAGCGTGCCAGATGTAGCATCTAACCCGTTTAACACGCAACTCATCGCTGTGTTCAAGGACCACCGGACACATTTTTAATGCACGAGATCATCCGCCGCATTGATTAATTCCACACGCTGTTGTCGTCCGTCCACATCGATTGGGCTTTTATCCGACCGCTTAATGCCTGAGGGATGTAAAGCTCATCAGCATCTGGATCTCAGCTTTCCACTCCCGACCGGCTCCAAGTAGCCCGTTCTCATCTGTGCGCACAAAGAGACAGGAAGCGTCGTCTTCTCGATTTAAGCTCCAGCTAAAAAAAATCGTTAAAAAAAAAAAAAAAAAGCACAGAAGACTTTCACACGGAGAACCTGCGAAAACCAGCCAAATCCGAACTGACATTTGTTCCTTTTACACGGAACCGGGTTAAAGCGGGATTTTAGTTGACAGACGGTGACACTTGCTTTCAACACAACGGGGAGTGGAGGGAGTTTGGATGAAGAAATTTGTCCTGGCCTTAAACGCAGGGTTTGAGACCCTATCCCGGTTTATGACCATAACCCAGTCTTCAAACCATAACTCTAAATTGTATCCTAGGTTCGAAACCCTAACCCTGTCTTAAAACCCGAATCTGCACCCTAAACACTTTTTTTGGGAAATCCTAATGTTGACATGGAATGACCCAAGCGTGACCTGGGAAGGTGGTGTCCAAACACGTCACGGGTGAACGGTTCATGCATGCAGTGTTGCACGGGTTGGATTTTCCTTCAGCAACTTTGCCCAGCCTGATTTCTCTCCGTGTGGATCTTGTCGACTGGTCATCAAACAAGTCAAGTGTTTATTGTGTGTGTGTGTGTGTGTGTGTGTGTGTGTGTGTGTGTGTGTGTGTGTGTGTGTGTGTGTGTGTGTGTGTGTGTTTCAGATCTCGGCCCGCATCCTCGAAGCCCACCAGAATGTGGCCCAAATGAGTCTAATCGAGGCCAAGATGCGCTTCATCCAGGCGTGGCAGTCGCTGCCCGAGTTTGGAATCACTCACTTCCTGGCCAAGTACGATTAGCCCAGACGAGACATTTAGTGCCGTGAAAAAGTTTTTGCCCTCTTCTCAAATCCTTTTTTTTAATTTATTTATTTGCGTGGTCTACCCTAACTCTTAGATTTCAGATCAACTAACAAAAAGGCATAACCCAAGTAAAGAAAATGTGGTTTTAAATTATTTTATTGTATTTGTAAAACTATTCAAAGCTTTCGTTTCCCAACTCAGTGACTTTGTTGGGTATCAATCACTCATTTCCTACTCCCGAATCAGTACAAAGGATTTTTTTTTTTTTTTTTTAAATACAGTGGTTAGGGAGGGTTTTGCTAACACACGGCTGCCGTCAGGTTCCAGGGCGGGAAGCGCGACGAACTGATCGGCATCACCTACAACCGTTTGATCCGCATGGATGCCGGCACCGGAGACGCCATCAAGACCTGGCGCTTTAGCAACATGAAGCAGTGGAATGTCAACTGGGAGATCAAGATGGTGAGGAGAAAAAAAAAAAAAAACGGCCCTCCAAGGGAACCTGTAATTAAAATCAAGCCCGTGACAAAAATGAGTTTGACACCCCCCAGGTTAGGGTTTCAACTAATGATTTGGAGCCAAAGTTGAATTGGTTCCGCTTTCAAGTTAGGTTTCAAAGGCTTCAACCCAGGATTTGTGTTTCAATCTTAGTGTTGATGTTTCAATTAGGGTTTTAAGCACAAATAAGGATTTCAGTTTAGTCCTGGAAAGTCGGGTTTGTGGCAGGTGGTTGAATTTCAAGGCAGTCTTGAAGTAAGGTTTCACATTAGGGCTTCAAGGCCGGGTCGAGTGCTTCAAAATAGGGCTATGGGTGGAGTTTATCCCAGCTGTCTTTGGACAGTAGGCGCGGGACACCCAGAACTGGTTGTCGGCAAATCACAGGGCTCAATATCCTCTTGTAAAACAAAATGAGGGATGAAAAGAAAGGTTTCAAAACAGGTTTATGGTTTTGTCTAGACTTGCTGCTCAATTGCATACACATTGATTTTCGACACAGATGTTAACATAACTGGCATGTTGCCTCAAAGTGTCTTTGTGTCTGCCATCTTGTCCACATTCGTTTTGTTTGTTTTTTGCGCCCCCTGCAGGTGACCGTCGAGTTTGCGGACGAGCCCAGCCTGTCATTCATCTGTGCTGAGGTGGACTGTAAGGTGGTCCATGAGTTCATTGGTGGTTACATCTTCCTGTCCACGCGGGCCAAGGACCAGAACGAGACCCTAGATGACGACATGTTCTACAAGCTGACCAGCGGGTGGGTCTGACCACGCGTCACGCCATCGGGGCCACCCGCTCGCTGGCGACTGCACGCTCCATGGACTATCACGCTCTTGGTTCCCACTAGTGCAGTACAACAACATGCTAACTTGTTGAAGTTGATGGCACTAGTAGTGTGCCGTTTTGCCTCACCAAGTGCCGTGTAGTCGTCCCACTAAAGAGGACAAAGAGCGTACTAGTACATGGACCTTAGGATGGATATCAAATTAATACACAGTCTAATATTTATTCAATGTCTTTTATATCCAGATGTAGCAAGCCAGTTCAGCACACTTGTAGAATAACCCTGTCTTACTCGTAATATTTTTTTCCACCACTGTATGAAATTTCCTTTACGCTACGAGTACAACTCTGGCATCCTCGTGGAACAAGTACTTCTTAGTAGTGAGGCAACAACCAGTGGGCACTTTGGTGCTCTGATTCGGATCCAGGAGGTTACTAGTGTGTGACACAAGAAGTGTGATTATTTATTCCATTTCCTACCAGTGCGCTGAAGGGTCTCTGCAGTAATCTGCTGAACATCAAGGGCAGTCGACTGGCGCGCAGTGAGGGTGCACTAGTAGCACAACTACATGGTACTCATGAGACAAAGCTACCAGTTGATACTTCGGTGCTTCTGGTACAGTCCAGGAGGTTACTAATTTGTGACACAAGCTGATATGGAAATCCGTCTTTTTGTCACTAGTCAGACAATGTGGCACACTAGTAAAATGACAAAGGTGCATGAGTAGAATGATCAAGACATATTAGTAGAACAACTACTTTTACTCGTCAAGCAAGGCTACAAGTTGGATTTTGGCGCTGCTCGTCGGGTTGAGGAAACTAGTTTGTGACACGTCTTTGACCAGATTAGCAAGACAAGTCTACTAGTACAATAAGGACAGAGTAGTTTAAAACTAGGACGGACTAGCAGTTCTAGTAGCACAAAGTAACCTAGTGCACAGTTTTGCCTCACTATAGTAGCACATAGTTGCTCTCCTAGTGCACAATAATGTCATACAGTAGTGGGAAAAAAAAAACACTAGTTAGACACAGTCATTCTGCTCGAGCTCTTTCGTCACTCCACTAGTGCACTGAATTGTCTAAAAAGGACAAAGAGCAAACTAGTTCATGGACAATTTGGTGTACTAGTAGGATAGGGAGTAAATGCTCAAATGGCTTCCCCTAGCCTCTCCCCCAGGTCCTAAAACCCACCATTTTCTCTGTCAGCACTTGAACACCATCGCATTGAATTTGGGCAATTGTTACTCTTAAAACAGCATGAAGCATTATGGCAGGGGGCTAGACCGCTTTTAATATCAAGCAAAATTATGAAATATTAATATCTGCTTTTTTTTTGTAATACAAACGCTCTCACACAACGGACGTTTAAGTGATCCTCAGATTACCTCTATGTGTCTCTCACACCACAGTATTATTCCTCTTCTGATTATGAATTGTATGAGAACACACCAGCAAAGGCCCACAATCAATTATGCAAGCAAAATGAAGTATTATTATTTGTTTTGTAACTAATGTAAAAACACAGCTTTTATAGAATTGTACAGTCTTTTTCTCTCTGCTCTGAGGGGTAAATATGTTTTGTGTGTGTGTGTATGTGTGTGTGTGTGCGTGCGTGCGTGCGTCTTCTTAATATGATGACTGTCATCACGTTAAGATGAAAATATCCTAAACTCACGGAAATACATATGTTCTTTTACTCAACACTACTTTTGCAGCTTTTTGTTGTCGTCCGAAAAGTCTTTAATGGAATATGAAGGAGTTTGCTTCATATATATATTTTTGTTTGTTTTTTTGTTTGCCGTTCTCGTGTCAGGAGCGACAGTGCATGTCCTGTTGTTTTCTTTTTTTTCTGACTGTAAAAAAAAAAATGCATTTATTTTAAAAGAATAAAAGTAATTTTTATTTAACGCCTCACGTTTTGCAGAATTCTTTTGGTTAATTCATGATACTTAACACATTTCATGAATTTTCTTGAAAAAAATTGACTTGGCTTCTAAAAAATTTGAACTGAAAAAACCCTGAAATATATTCCAAAAACGAGAACATTTAACCTAAAAGTATTAAAATATTTCATACAATAAATATTCATTTTTAAGGTTTTATTTTTAATCATGTTCTTATAAGATAACATTTACTTTTTTTTTGGACCAACTACTGTAATGGTATACAACAGCAATTTCATCTTCATGTAACAGCACTTTTCTTAGAAACAGATTGCGTATTTCCTTAATGTAACTACCATTTTGGAACTTCAAAAAATAAATAATATATGCACACACCACGCTTGCAATAACCATGCTTGTCCACCAGAGGGAAGTACAGTGCCTTGTACGGTATTTGGTTTTCTTTACTTTCCTCGCTCACCAAATAGATTTTTTTCCCCGTCCTCCATGTCAACAACAATCAAACTGCACCCAGGGGAGTCATGATAGACAACTGATTGAAGAGTGGCTGCCTTGTCTTTCAATTTGCACGTTTCGATGAGCGGTCCCGTTTTCATCGTCGTGGAGGTAATGAGACAAGATCACACCTTTTTGGACACCTGAGTGGATCGCACAAAGACGATGGAAAAAGTCAAGTGGGGTGACTGCTTCTACCACCTGATGTCCACATGTGTATTCAGTCATAATCGCATTCTAGGGAAAAAAACAATTGGTGGGCGACGTCCCAGCCAATTGTTTGTTTCAGCCGACGCAGGAAAAACCACCCTGAGCATTAACACCAAATTTTATTACTTTATCTCCGTCGTGTCCCAGCCAGACACTCGAGACATCATTTATCAAAGTAGCCACTTGAGAGCCACATCAAGTTTCAAGTTTCCATGGAAAACGACTAAACACGACACCGGGCCAAGACGCTAACGGCAAAAATCGTCAGTCGTGTGTCACAATGTTCTCATCTTGTGTCTTGTGGGATAACGATAAGTCTTTTCAACAATTTATCCTCCAGCCTGATGTCATCCGTAAACACCATTACAAATGGGGAGTCTTTTGGACATAAATGACGGACGATCAATGATGATAATGTTCCTTCTCGTCAATTCTTAAAATAATAATTTCCAAAAAATGACAAAAAGTCACATTGGGGAAAACGGCTGTTTCTTGTGATGTGCGTCTGAGGAGGTGTGTGGCTCGTGAGGCGCTGACAATAGTCAGATTTACACAACCGCTCACGTCGGCATTTAAGCGAGCGGATTTTCGTAAAACAAAGGGCAGAACAGACATCCGCTTCTTCTCAGCCCTCATTTTCAATCGTAAATTGTGGCATTACGAAGTCAAGGTACCACTGTATTTTCTCGCTGGCGAAGAAATATCTCAGCAGAACACGATGTTATTGAACCGTTCTGGCGAGTTTATTTTCAGTAATGCAAAATTCCAATGCGGCGGCATATGAAAACGATTACGAGAGGCCGGCTCGGCACCTACACATGATGAATGGCTGATATCTGCTTTAAATCTCCGTTCAAGTGGCTGTCTCGACCATTCCAGAGCCACAGTTCATGCAATTTACCGTCAGGGGGAACGGAGCGTATGAGAATAGAATTCGTGTTTTTTTCAGAAGAGCCTGAAACTGTCATATCGGTAATTGTGACGATCCGTTTTCAAATTAACTTGCCTTTTGAATGTTGTCCACACACATGCTGAGCATGTTAGTTTTGATAATGACATTCCAATGTTAGAAATGGTACAGATGACGCAATTCGGCATGTTCCGATCAAGGTTATGTGCTGCCGATACCGATCACCCATCGGTGTGATCAGTTGATACCAATTCCGATACGGATTAACTGCACATTTTTTTTCAAATTTAGAGCTGCTCACGAACGATTTTTTGAATAATTTATCACTGTCAATTATTTAATTGATGAATCACATAAAATAAAAAAATAAAAATCTTTCCAGATTTCCGTGCATTCATTACACAGCAACAGGATCTTTTTTCAAATTGACAGTGCAGAAAAGGCACAGACCTACGGTACAGTATGATTCAGTTTTATGCTATAAAAAGTTTGAGTACCATCGTGACAGGGACCTTCGCAACCTACAGAGTCCCGTTTTAAGTGTTATTAGTTCTCCGAGTGTATTAGGGAGTTCCATGTTTACCCTGCTCACCATGGGGACCCAGGCACCTCGCTCCCGCCTCGCCGATCCAGGCCGCACACAGCTCAGGCCCATCTCCGTGTGGCTGAGACGATGTTTATGTATTCCAGGATTTAGGGAGGAGGAGGGACGTGGAGGGAAGTCGGAGATGCAAGCCAAGTGAAATGGCGTGCCGGGTAGGTCTCCGATAGCAACCCTTTACCCGCCTCCTTTGGGAGTGCTTTTCTTGACGGAACACCACCTTATAGGGGAAGGAGAAGTGGGGCAATTAACCTCTCGACCTCTCTGGTTCTTTGATGGCTTCCTTTACATGAATCACTCGTGTTAGGCGAACAAACTTTGAGGGTGTTTTTTTTTTAATCTGTTTGTTTTGTAAACACATGACAAAGTTTACTGAGAGATATTCTGTACATCTTGTCAGAGTATGGAAACGAAAAATGGTTATCTCCCCTAGGGGGCGTCTGAAACACATTTTAAGATCTTTTGGCAGTTTCTAACATTGCTTAAACTAACCGTAAGCGCTTTTGCACTTTTTCCTGCACATCACCGTTCTTTTAATACGGACCTATTACATTTGTGCCCGTTAGTTTACATCCACTTGGAGAATTTAAAAACGTCGGTGGTGTTGAATGAAATGCAGTTGAAAATGTGGGTGCACCTCCTTTTTTCTGTCAGTGTACCAAAGAGAAAAAGTTGGGGTTGAATGAAATGCAGTTGAAAATGTGGGTGCACCTACTTTTCTTCTGTCAGTGCACCAAAGAGAAAAAGTTGGCAGCACCAAGGCACCCAGTACAAATAGTTAGTCTCGATACCACAAACGTGACCCCTCGCCATGTTTGTGGTATACCCCACTAGGAAACAGTGACTCATAACTCGGAACAGGCTTACTCATGTCGGAGAGGTTTCACTTCTGCCTTTTCCACAGAGTTTCCACAACCGTCTTGTTGTTGTCCTTCCCTACGGACCTCCCTCGCAACACACCCCCTTCTCGCCCCTCCCCAAATCTCTCATCCGCATTTACCGAGCATGTTGAAATCAAAGTGGATGGTCTCAAAGTAAGCATAAAAACCTCAGAGGCAAACATTTTTTGTCCCCCCGGACTCCCCAAATGAACTGTTTCCACATGCTGCCGCAGATGGTGGAGCAGCTTGCTGTAGTCGTGTGTTCAAAGAGCCAGACAAACTGTAACTTGAGAGGCTTAAACAAGGAACATTCAGACTTGATTATTAGGGATTGCCAGCTGCCAAGTACACGGTTTCATTCACGCCGCATGATTGCTGAATAATTCGTACCATTTTGCCAACAGTGAGAGACAAACTCGACGATTGTTCACAGTTGTAATGAACTCTGGTGGGATTTTTTTTTATGTATTTTTTTTTTTGGTCAGTGCAGATTAACCCTTTCATGCACCCTGAAACCTGATAACATGGTAAGATGTCCACTGTAGTAACCGTTGTCCCGGAACGGGTTGAGCGCGAATGCAATCATCTGAACCCTGGTGTCGTACCAAGACTTCTTCAAAAGGTGTACCAACCGGCAGCGCTCTGGTGGAAGTTTGAAATATCGATTCTCATTTTTCGTCTCCACGGCGAAAGTGCCAGCATGTCTGGCATACATTTGTAACAAGACATCTGGGAGAAGAAGTTCTACATGTACATTTCACCGGTAAGAATGAAATTTTATATTTTCTCTACTCATTGTTACTCAAATATGTGTTGCCACTCGCCATTTTGACAGTCTCATTTTTGGGTGGAAAATCTTGTCACGTCGCTATGTTACACATTGTTCAAACCAATGAAGAGCACAAATGTCTCCGGAGAATCCATTCACCATTATTGTACGTAATGTCTTCTTATTCGACTATGTGCTTGTGGTGACACTTTCAACCAAAACAACACAAATACCAGTGGAGCCAATACAGATCCCAGTGGAACCCCTACAGTGTATTTTATGCTAAACTTTGAGGGGAAAAAATGTCTTGTTTGTAACATGGAAGTTCTCTGCTAGCTTCTTCGCAAGTTAGGGTTAGGGTTAGAGTTTTGTTTTGAAGAGTATACAGTGTATTTTATGCTAAACTTTGAGGGGAAAAAAATGTCTTGTTCGTAACATGGAAGTTCTTTGCTAGCTTCTTCACCAAGTTTTGTCATTATACTCTTCAACATTGCATGAACATTGAACTAACATGGGCAAGGTAGAGGTCTCCACAAAAAAAATGACCGGCGGCCAAAACAATCAGGAAAGGATTCCGTAACTGAGCACGGGATTGCCTCGGGTGACTCACAATTGGCCAAGCAAAGCACGAGACAGACACAAACATACAGTACACACACACTTGTAGACGCTCTCACAGCTGCACGGCCTTGCCGTGTTAGCATAAGGTTGTGCTTGAATGGCTGCAGAAACAAAAGCAGCTGCCAGCTAAGGACCGTCATAAACACAGACACCTCCCTGGAACGTGTTCATGGAGCAGTCAGGAATTTGCCGAAGCCGAACGAAACCTTCTGTGGCGGACGGGCTGGTTACTGTTCACCGGACGATTGGGGAGGGCAAGGGCAAGCTACTGTGTCGGAGTTATTGGATGTTTGAGCCAGTGAGTGGATAATTCAAATCGTAAAATATTATGCTTGGCACTATTATAGGTCCGTCACGGCGGAACGGAATGGTTTTATGGCCAATGAACATGGTCGCACAGCCCTGTGTCATGTGCAATTCATGCAACATGTGCAGCCAAACCCCATACAGATAAATAACACGCAAATACACCCTACTGCATCCTGTGGCAGGGACCACAAGGTAGCAGAAAGTGTACAACGAGGCAGGCTGCGGTTATCCTTCTTAATGTAGCTAGCTCGGTGGCAGCTGAAACGATCCAACGGGGGGTCTGCAAGGTGTGTCCAATTATTTTCTGGCCTGGTTTTATGAGCCTCCGGAGCACTGTACATGCTCATAATTGCTACCGTGATGTGTTTGAGAAACCTTTTTCGGTAGGGTAGTGGTGGCAAAAGTACCCTCAGGCTTTCATTTTGATGACAACCTTGAGGAGTGTTCTTTGTGCTTTACGCTTTTCGAAAGAGTTCCATTACTTTGCTATCAATCAGTGGGTGTTCATTGTGCTCTTTGAAACGACATATTTAAAGAAGTATAAAAAAAAGGTCTAAAATGCATACGGTTCTTGTTCTCTGCAACATTCTTTTGTGTACTAATGACTTTGATAGCATATATGTCCATTCCAAAGTAATAATTTATCTTACCTACAAGACACCACCTCTCCACCAAACCATTTTATGGCTAAACCGAATCTTGTGAACTGCACTTATTAAGCACTTGACACTATTTAAATAAATATACAAACTACAGAGATACAGTGGTACCTCTACTTACGAACAGTAAGTAGTACGAAAGTTACGGAACTTCTCAACAGGAAAATATTGCCTCTTGTTACGAAAGAAATTTCAGGACACGAAAGGTAAAAATACAGTATGGCCTGCTAGTCACAGCTCCGAGTTTCCTGAACGCAACATACTTATAGCTGCTCTGCCATTGGCTATTACCGAGCATCATTCTGGCATCCCATTGGCTAAGAGTGACTTACTGTATGCGTCTATGTGTGTAGATAGATATCTGTCGATGCTGCGTCCTCGTCATTCGCTCAAGAGGTGTTCCGATAGGTTAATGTAAATGTGAATCACCCAGAAAAAGTGTTCACCAGTCAGGCGATCGCTCACTATGCTGATGTTTGCCTTGGACATTTTCGAAGGATTTTTAAAAGCCGACAAAGGCAAACGTCGTTGGATCAGTTCTTTACAAAATGCCAGGCAAAAACCACTTCTGAGAGCGAACATGGACTAAAGTAGGCAAAAAACGATGAGGACGCAGTTAAAATTTAAATGACCATTATTTTTACTCTCCACTCTATTCTTTGTTTTTTACCTTACACACAACTCTCATTTATTGCGCAATGATCTAATTGTATCTGTTACGTATTTTGATGCATTTTTATGCTTTAGGAAACATTTTTCTCAGATTTTTTTTGGGGGGGGGGCTTGGAACGAATTAGGGCATTTCCATGGAAAAGTGTCTCGATTACACAATTTTCTAGCAAAGAAAAAACCCAATTAACTTCGTAAGTAGAGGAACCACTGTATATAAAAAAGCCTACCGAGCAACCGAAATGAAGCAGCCCCCCCCCCTCCAAATTGCAGCTTTTCCGATTTGAAAACTGTATTCAATTACATCGCGATGTCGATTTGAATCCGATTCATTGTTCAGCCCCGCTACAAAATACAGATAACGGTTTCAAATGGAATGGATAAAGTCATCCCAAAAATAAATACACAAACAAAGCCTTTGTACTTCGCTACTTTCCACCAATGAGGTGCACAATAACTGCAACTCCCCCCAAAACATGGCCGCTGACGTCTAATGACAGCCTGCGCGTAAATGTGAGTGCGCGTGCGCGCGCGTGTGTGAACCTGCTGCTGGCTCTTCATCCAAGCAGGCTGACGCTCACTCACTCAGTCGCAAGTCAGGCCGACGAGAGGACTGACTGACTCTTCGGTCGCGCTTCTCGAGTCCGGGGGGGTGGCTGAAAAAAGTCGCCTTTCACTCAACCGACTGTGGAGGGTAGAAGACAAAAAGCGAGGAGGACATGTCGGACGCGACAAGTTAGCTTTTTGGGAGACGACAAGGACGGGATTTGCTGGGGCAGCGCGTGAAACGTTTAAAAGCACAAGAGCCGGTAAGTAAAAAATGTCAATGGACGTAATCGTGATGGGTGTGTGAAATATAGACGGAGGGGGGGGCGTTTTTACGAATGTTCGAAGTTGTTTCCATGGCTGAAGTAATTGTTTTTTTTTTTTCTTTTAACTATCGCAACACGTGTGTGTGCAGGTAGCCAATTAACCGCCGTTATTCTTCGCACGTAAACATACGAATTGAATCTTATTTTGTCAACGCTTATCTTCTCGCGTGCTTAGTTTGGAAGTTCTGCGCTTCAATTGGAAATGTACATGATGTGAAGGTTCTGAGTGGGAGGTACACTACTCCTCACTTCATCATCATCTCAAGGGATACAAAGTGAAGTTGTGGCTTGGTGCCTCACTCACCTTTGAGCTCCCGCGATAAAACTGACATTGCTGCCAAATGTGGCTCCATTCCCGATTCAATTTATCTTGACATAATTCGAATGATTAATCACGGTTTGACGCAACGCATTTTGATGCTGCGCTGACGGCGAAAATTGATTTGACTGAAGTAAGTAAGCCGCACGATTTCAAAGGGAGTTTCTCATGTTAAATTTACATTTTTGCTAAATTCCACGTCACATTCGTCTTATACAATGCAAATTTTATTCAAATCCAATAAGACTTTCCAAAGATTGATGTGATTTTTACATACATTTAAACTGATGCGAAATCGAGAGGGAATGCTGATTCAAGTTTGTTTGACACTGTCTTCGGCGCTTACAAATTGCTTCATCATTTCAAATTCTATGAGACACGACAATGATGTTTGTGGCAGTTAAATTTGATTTTTACACGTTGACTTCAAATTGGGGCGGCACAATGGGCGACTGGCTGGCATGTCCGCCTCCCACATTCCAAAAACATGCATGGCAGGCTGATTGAGCACTAAATTGTAGCTAGGTGTGATTGTGAGCACAAAATGGTCTTTGGCAATGTGTGCCCTGTGATTGCCTGGCGACCAGTTCAGGTTGTCCCCCGCCTCCTGCCCGGAGTCAGCTGAGAGAGGCTCCAGCACACCTATGACCCTCGTGAGGATAAAGCGGTTCCGATAATGGTTGGATGAATACACCCGACTGCATCCTGTCGCAGGTAGCAGAAAGAGTACAACGAGGGGGGCTGCGGTTATCCTCTTGTGGTTTAATGTGAAAATAACACGTGCAATGACATAATGTGTTAATAATTTCTCCAGAGTATAAGTCGCACCTCCGGCCAAACTATGAAAAAAAGAAACCGCCACGGCCACATAGAATCACGTGGCGGGCCGGATCTGGCCCACGGGCCTTGCGTTTGACACCTGTGTTGTCCAGGATCAATTAAAAAAAATGACACGAACCAATTAGATGTAGAAACGCTTCAATGTTTTTGATCGGCACACAAAGTCAGGATTTCTATTTCTTAATTTTTGACATAGCATGCCGCCATATAGCCCTTAATTTCTCTCCAAAAAATGTTTGAATGTTGACAAAATCGAAAGGACAGTATACGGGTGTACTATTTGGTCTGTGCGAAAGGGTAAACCTGTTTGGCTTTTTTTTTTTTTTCTTCTTTTGGCTCTTATTAGCCCGGAGGCTTCTTATCTGACCCGTGTTCCCAGCTGTGAGGCCCAACTAACCCACTTAGGAGAAAATATTGTCTCTTCCCTGGAAAGAGTTTCGGGGCAGGGCTTAATTTGCTCTGCTCCGCCATAAAAGATAAGCTTATATCTTGCTCTGTATTTCTTTGGCCAATTACTTCGAACATCACGTCTGCTGTTGGGTCGTGCGCTAAACGACCTGATTTATGCGGTTGACGATGTTGGATAAACCCGCGGTCACAAAGAACCATTTCTACTGGACTCTACCATTGTTCCAATGAATAAAAGACTTATTGTTGTCGTCGTGAAATATCTCTCGGTCACTGGTCACTCAGGACTTGCCGTATATATTGGCAAGAAAATATTTTTTGCTGCCTGACAACGAGGTTTATTGATTCATGGTTAGCGATCGCCTTGCTGGTTGTGGTTGCTTTCATTTGTGGCACGTGTGAGATCCCGAATCTTTTTCAGTGTCCCCCACACATATCTAAATTTGCACATGAGAAGTTACAACAGAGGCACATTTGTTTGCCTTACTGGACTGTTATTTTCAGAGTTGCCTGGGACGTCACGTGTACAGTCAACAGTGCGGTTCTGGCACAAGGTCGCTCATGAAAAGCCTCTTTATTCACTTTTCAGGAGCTCAAGATGCCCTGTAAAAACTAAGCTCAAACTCAACAAAGGAAGAGAGGAAGTCATAAGGTATGAAATCACCTTCATAAAAGTGATAAATCTGTCTTTTTTTTTACTTGTTTGGACAAAATCTAATACAGTATTTAAGATGGCTGGAAAACAACTCAAATGTTATTTTCCAGGAGATTGAATTCTTTCTGGCCTGGAAACGCAATCCTACTTTTGCGCTTGTTTTTCACCCTCACTTTGAGGCAATAAAATATAAATGTGTTGCTTTCGATGCCAGGAGGGGGAAAAAATGTTTTTTTTTGTACGAGACCGCCTCAAAGCAAGAGAGATTTGTGAACGAGTCCCCAAGTGTAGCTTTGGAATGATGCATTGTAAGACTGCTCCAAAAAAAAAACCAAAAAGAAAGAAAGTGTCGTCAGGCGTTCATACCGCCCCTTGAGTCAGAGAGAGAGAGAGTTGTTCCTCGGAATGACATGACTTAAGAAGGCAGTTACTGTATTTTCCTTGTGAAAACGAGACATACCGGAGCTGTGAACCGTAATCATGTTGCAAAACAGGAAACTGGCTGGCCACCACAGAAACGTAAATCTTCCCCCCGCATTTCTGTCCCCGCAATGTGTGCACGTGGCTGCGCCGCATCTACAGCTGCCCAATGCAGCGACACCCCCCTCAAAGGATGCTTGGGTCTATAAAATCCAAGCCTGGGAGTCATTAGGAACGTCATCTTTTTACAAGTGTAGCCTGAAAACAAATTTCCGTGTCCACGATCGTCTGTTTGGAACGCGATTGCCGCGGGGCGTCCGACAGCCGGGTCAGCTCAACGGTCAAACGGGGACGCCGTCGGCTGCTCTCTGCTGGCGTCTGGTTGAAGGTGGCCCGCCTGGCCCACGTTCCTTCGCTGCTGTCTTTGCTCAAAGCCAGGACTAACTTGGTCGCTGTCTTACCGCGTAAAGGAGACGGAGGCATTTTTTATTTTATTTTTCAATCCACTGCGGATGTAACCGATATTGGCATTTTAATTGCTGGAAAAGTTTCAGTCTCCTATATTTTAATTGTGAACTGTTATCCAGTGGCACCTTGACGTTCGGCTAATTTATCTCGTACTCAAGCCTGTAACTTCGTTTTCCTCACTGGGATTGTATAATGCGCTGTAGCATTCATGTGGGGGCGTGGCCTAGTAACAAACATTCCCTGGAATGTTCCATGCGTCTGAGCTTTCATACAAACTCCCTGAGCCTCGGACCACCTTCCTTGGTCCACGTTGAGCAAGATCAAAACATGCACGGGACGGCCAAACCAGTATCACACCTGTCCAAAACTTAAGATCATAGCAAGTTACATAATGTATGTTCCCCCAAAAAACCATTTAAACCGGCTTTATATCAAAATAGAACACATTCTATGACCAAGCTGTGGTAGGAACTCACTTGACAAATATATCAAATCTATTTCACCCATTGAGATTAATTGAAATTGCATTAATCCGTTCCAACCCCCCAAAAACCATCAGTTCTTTCGTAATGGATTAAAGAAAAATAGTCCTGCATTGTATGAAATTAAAATACAATATAGGGGAGAATTAAAACACACACACACACACACACACACACACACACACACACAAATTTTTATATATTTTTTTAAGCGTCTTACGCAAATATGCAAACTCTCGTTGAATTGAACATAGTAAATCGGGAATAAAGGAACGTTGAACACATTAAATAGAGTTTTGTGCCATGAATAAAATCGCCCCTTTCTTTATTTTATTTTAGCACATAATTAAATGGCAGTGGGAATGGTGTACTGCTACCTCACCTCCACCAACTGCTTCTTTATTGCTTTCTTCCGGAAGCTTAAGATTGTGAAGCGGCAAGATGCATCCACGTCTTTTGGGGCCAGCTGTTGCTTTTTTTTTTTCCACCCGCGATAAAGAACGTCGACGTTGTAACCAAGCCAAGAACCGAGCACGAGAAGTGCCTTTTGGCCCGGCTCCGTACACTCGGGAGTTAATGCCGCGCTTTTTCTTACTGGGTGATAATCGGCCGTGAAATTTATGTACGTCGTTTGGCCTCCACGGCGGCAACGAGGCCCGCTCCGTCCGCCGAACATTACGTCAGACGGCTCCGAGTCAAGGCATACGCTTGGCATCGTACTTGGTTTCATCTTACTGCCTGTAGGCTGCTATCTGTCTTCTTTTTCTTTTTTTTTTTTGCTGTTCTTCATTTTCTAATGCTTCAATGGGCCACCTGAGGGGGTGGGAGACGCTCGCCTTTGCCTGGTGACAGCTTGCGGGTAGACGCAGAGCAACCTTCAGGTTCAACTGGAGGATGGATGAGAAGGAGGCTTTCCACTGAGAGTATCTTCCACGTTGGATTGCAATTTTTTTTTTTTTTTTTTTTTGGAACAAATTTATTGAATAGGAGATTCTTTTTTATTTGTTTGTTTGACAGTTAGCGGGATAAAACAAAAAACACTTTTCTGCAACACACTTTGTTGTTTTTACAAAAGAGGTCGGCTAGAGGAACGGAGACGCTTGTTCGCGTTCCATTTTGAGGCCGGACACGTACAGTTGTTGCTGTTAGATCTCTATCACTTAGCTTTCCACGCTATGCTAAAAAGCTCCTGTTATTGCTTTTGCATTATTCATTTCCAAGCCCCAGCAAAATGTTTCATTTTGAGTTTTTCCTCCCAGAAATGTTTTTTAGTCCGGCGCCAGAGCTTTTTATGTTCCACTCTGTTCCCTGGAGGTTGACGTCATCCCGACACAACAATGACCTCCGGCCAACAATGGTGCCCTTCCAGCCCCGACGAGACTAGTTTGTTTGTGTATTATTTACCGCTCCCCTCTAGCCTGCTTCTTGCTTCTTTGCTTCGCTTGGCCCGCCACATTATTACTTTTTGGAAATCTTGCAGAGATGTAACAAAGCAACTTTGTAATTTTTGAGTCTGTTGTTTATGAGCCAACTAAAAAACAATCTGGAGCTTTTTTTGGGACCGGCTTGGACTCACCGCACAGTAGTTCATCCACTGGGCTACAAATGACAAATTGATTCCTCGTCTGTAAGAGCGGCTGGTGTGGTTTGGAGTTTTTGCGAGTGTCTCAAGTGTGTGGCCGATCACATCCACAGATGTCATGAAAGCATACGGATCTAATCAACCCACTTCTTTGCAGCGGCACGGACTTCAGGCTAGTGAAGTTGAGGACTAGATAGACAATCGTCTGACGTGTTGCTTCCTGTTTGCAACAGACGATCCCCGTTCAACACCAAACAAATGTCACTTGTCGATTTGGGTGTATTGATAAAGAGTTTTTCTTCCCCACGATGTCTGTTAGCCACGTACTGAGCTGCACTGTGTTTGTTTCTGGATTAGACATGTGGCTAGAGTATGAGGCAGTTCCACTTTCGGGCCCTTAATAAATACGTTCCCCGCAGGAACGTGGCATGCCTCTCTACTGAACTGAACTGAACGTTCTGTGCCGAAAAGTGAACTGTGTTCCTTTATTCTCTATTGACTATGTTAATAGTTGCATATTTTTTAGTTGCAAGACACTTAAAAAAAATGAAAAAAAAAAAAAAAAAATATTTTTTTTAAATTCTCTCTTGTATCTTTAATTTTATACAATGCATGGCTATTTTTCTTAATTAAAAATCCATTATGAAAGAAGTGATGGTTTTTGGGGGTGGCTGGAACGGATTAATGGAATTTCAATTCATCTTAATGGGGAATATAGATTTGATTATATGTGTCAAGTGAGTTTCTACCACCGCTTGGTCATAGAAAAAATTATATATTGTAAGTAATTGAAAAGGAAATCTCTGTTCAATGTCAAACCCATGTGCAAGTGAACCAAAATGTTGCTCAGCGTGTTTGTTGTGCTCTACAATTTCATGGCACAGCGGAAATATGGATTGATACGTCAATGTCGTATGGTGAGAGAGAACAGTACGATACATCGCAATAACCTTTTTGTACTAAGAAATATGCATTGGATCGATCACACACCATGTCATCCTACGGCGATTTTTAATTTCAGACTACCTGTCGAGACGATACCGCAAGTCATTTTGATAAATTCAGGTCTCAATTTTCATCTTGCTTTCGCTCCCCTCCACCGACACAGCTTGAGAGCGCACCTTGCCGTCGCCCCCGCGGAAGCCCTTTGCCAGCCGACCCGCCGGCTTCCGAGATGAGTGCCAAAGCCACCATCAACAAGGAGGTCTTCGTACCCCACGACGAGAAGATGTTGGCAGCCGTGCAAGTGAAGCGAAAGACCAAGAAAAAGATTCCGTTCCTGGCGACTGGCGGTCAGGGAGACTACATGACCTTCATCTGCCTCTCAGGTCAGACCTTTTTAAATGTCTGCCTTAATTCCCTCGCCGATGTCCGCAATCATGAGCTTGTTTTCCTCTGCCGATAAAATGACACGCTAAATCAATTAAATGCTGAGCTGTAGGTCAATACGGATCCGATTAACGCTGAAATTGAATCATTGTTTCGCGACAAATTGGTTTAATTTTTGTTTCACTGCCTGTAAATTGAATCAGTCATGCATAGCATTCATCGTTTGAACAGCAAGGGTCTGGTAATTTGTTTTTCGCAGGATCATTGAACTTTGAAGTCTTGACGGCTGTGGTCGTGCTTGTGGGTTTGGTTATGTGAAGATGAACTCCGGAGCGACAGCTCTGCTAGTGCGATCCATTTGGCCGTGTGTAAAAATCAATACGTGAACCGTGGCTTGCCCCCAAAAAGCGGACCGAGGGATGGTTGAAATGACTTAATTTCGAGTTACCTGGAAATAGATTGTGTTTTTTTCTTGCACCAGGAAACAACCACCAGAAAGCAAAAGCAGCATTCACACTGGTTGTTCAAAGCATACTTCTGTTTTATATACAGTGGTACCTCGACTTACGAAATTAATCGGTTCTGGAAGAAATTTCTGAACTCCAAAATTCCAAAAGTAGAGACACGTTTTCCATGTAAATACCCTAATTCGTTCCAAACCCCGACAAAATTCAAACATAATTGTTTCCTTTCTTATCTTGTAATTTCTTTTGTAACAAGAGGCAATATTTCCCTGCTGAGATGTTTCGTAACTTGAAAATTTCGTGTGAAGAGACGTTCGTAAGTAGAGGTACCACTGATTTTGTTTGTCATGTTGTATGTATCTTCACTAAACTCAACTCAGCGGCAGCGTTTTGGACCAACTGGAGATTCTAGAGGGAGAACTGGGTGACTCCAAAATAAAGTGCACAAACATAGACAAGGCTCTTCCTGACTACCATTGTATTCTCGTATCCCAGGAAGACGGTCCCATCTGACTTCATCATTAGCAGATTGAATCAAACGGGAAGAAATCAAAAGCACACTCAATCAAGTCGCCTGTGAGTTGAAAGCAAGTCAGCTAGTGTGTGTTGGGAACCGCAGTTTTAGAGTATGACTGCTGCTTGGAACAAAGACGTGAACCAGTCATGAAATGACAAGATGTGTGATTTTCTTTGCTCGAGTGTAAACAACCGGGCTGCGTTCACACATTTCAATCTGTTTGGATTAACACCGGTGTGATTCCTCTTGGCCAAGTGTGAACACAAAATGGAGGGTTAATATCGACACTATCCATTCAGTTTTATTATCCCCACCATGTTCCTTCACTCTATGTAGCCTCGGCTACAACTCCTAGACGCTCAAAGTGGCCCGGTGACATCGCCCGTGAACATGCGTACGTGTGGCCGCCGACATCGTGGCATTTGTTAAGGTCAACGTGTCCATTCGCCGTACGGCCACACAAAGAGTGACTATTCAGTCATAGTCATGGCCCCGTGGATGCTGAGTGAACACTCGGTCGATGCATGCCTTGTGCATTGCGCTGTACGTGCGAGTAGGAGGGGGGAGGGGACTCTGAGACTTCCGCCTACTGTAAAATTGAGGCCCTCGGGTCAGACAGTGGCCGAGTTATATAACGTGTGCTATGTCACAGCTGAAGGAGAACCGCAAACTTAAGTGAGGAGCCGGACTGTGGGGACTTCCTGGTTCCCGCTCTGCTTTTCCCACCGTCTCCGATCAGTTCCGATGATGATCACTTCGGGTCATTTCGGGCCAATTTAACATACTGGATGTCAAATAAAGGGTTAGCGGATTGCCCTCTAAAAATAACGATGTGCCCTTCCTTTGGCAGCAAATGATTTGAACACCAGCTCAGTGATATGTGGCTTTCTGTTCGTTAAATCCACCTTGAATCCTGAAAAAAAAAGGCTGAATTAGCCCTCAAAAGTCCTTAAAAGGTCCATTAATAAAAAGCAAGTGGAAGAGTGGGAACCCTGTTATTGTTGTTTGCCCTCAAAGTGACCTTGTATTCCAGAATCAGAGCACCGCTATTGCTCTGCTCAGTTTCATTCAATCCATTTTTCTTTCTTTTAGCGTCATCTTTTCCAAATAAGGTGTACAAGCGAACCGAGAGCCTCGCGGGCCCGTGCAGCAGCGATTACGGCCAAGTCGGCTCGCACGGAATTATTTGAACGCCCTAACATCATCATAGGAGTGTTTGCTGGAAACGAGCCAGCAGCTCAACATGCTCCAAGTCAGTTAGCGAGCATTGTCTTTGATCACGGGGCTCCATGCGGTGCCTGACGGCCGGACCTCTGAGCTGAAAGGCTGCGCCGCCCACAGAATGTTTGGCAAGAGATAGACGAGAGGCCCGTTGAAAAAAAGATAAGACCCAGTAACCGTTTCGCGGGCGTGGACCAGACGTTGATTCTCACAGCATCTCTCGCCGCTTGACGGTTTTCAGAAGTGCTGCTATCGGATTCGCACCGTACGAGTTCATCGCCTACGACACAAAAATCAAAGCTAACGATCGAAGCGGTCACACTGAGATCAATGACTCGACGCCTTACGTTCGAGTTGTTGCCGTTTCATTTGAGGCCTGCGGGTGACACAGCTTTGAAACACAGTTTCAGGTTTTCATACAAATCTAGAACATTTTTTCCCCCCCTGTATGGAACTCTCCGTATTTTACCGACATGCAAAGTTACCAAATTATGGTAGGCAAGGGACAGGACCCGGAACTGCCTCACTTTGCGCTCTGTAAAGAAACGCAGTGCATCTCAAGCTCTGGCATGCAGACGCCATGTTGCGTGATATTTTGTTTTTAGGCGATTTCCAGTGCTTTTGTTTAGTTCATAAGTCAGATATGATCATTTTATGTTTTGCACCATGACATCGGTGTTTTCAGCTCAACCGATACTGAAAGTTGTCTTGCAACACGACTCGGACAAGCTTCGTGGGTGTAACCTCAAACTGTCTTTCAAGTCGGGTCCACAGCGGAACTGACAAAAATGGACATTTAGATGACTGAAACTTGAGGGGGAGCACGCTCTTATATTTGGAGACGTACTCGTAGAGTGTGGCTGAAGCTGTTTTAATTCCCCTTTTAAATCGGGTCGGCTTGTGAAGTCAGAACGGTCAAAACACCTCAAGTGAAATTGTTCGTGTGCTTTACAGATGAACCGGAAAATGTCTCCGTTTCCAGTCGGCTACAATAGGAAGTCAGCGCTAACAGTTAAATGAATCACAGTATACAGACCGATCTTCAGGTTGTTCCTATTACAAATCCTCTACGTGTCTGTAGTGCACACTTCAACCATCTGATTAATCAGGGACTACGCCACACTCCTCATTCCCGCCCGCCCGCATGCATATCCTCATTCCTTTTTTTTTTTAAATCCAATTTCTTCTCTATCTATATCCTTGTTGATTTTGTTTTCGAGTGCCCATGTTGTCTTCTGAGCAAGGCCATCCGTAATCTGTTCCAACACAAGCCTGGTGCGTTTCTGCTTGTGCGAGAATTTCAATGTGGGCTGCATGTAGGCGTATTCTTGGGAGAGAGTACTCCGGCTCTTGTGGTTATGCGGGCATATTGTGAAGGTCGTTTGTTTGCATGTGCAATTTTAAGTGTAGGCCGTCTCATTCGCGTCCACGTGCCCCCGGGAACCTCTTCGTTTGGTAACACTCACCCGCACTTTGGTTGGATTCAGGGACCAGGTTTTTATTGCTCTTTTCCGACTGTATTTGATGTATTTTCATGAGCGCCCATATCCTCATTCCATTGACATAACCCGCGTTGCCATAACCCGCGTTGGGTAAACAAATCGAGGAGGCCCTCTGTTTATGATTGATTTCGGTGCAGGTGCCATACCAGCCGCTCCATAGACCTGCCCACCTTACTGCAGAAGTTAAAACCTCTCCGCTCTCAACGATCTCCTTCAGGGAGTTAAGCTTGGTGCCAATGTTTTTGCTTCTGGCCACCTGGTAAATAAAATCTGCAGTGACTCCTCAGGCTTGTACGTTTCAAACCCTCCCTTTCTGTTTTCATCATCAGCTCGCTGCCCCCAAGCTATTGATTACCTTGTGAGATGGATGGGCTGAGAGACTTGTGTAACTCGCTGCTCAATGCAGCTCCATAGGCCACATAGATGTATTACATAATTGTTTGCTTCCAAAAAAAAAAAAAAAAAATCCTTGGTCTGACTTTCTGTATTCTATGTATTAATTATGCACGCAGTTGTAGATGTGCTTGTCAAGGTTATCCCAACCTTCCAACTCTGGGAGAGCAGGTCAATGCATATTTTTCAAGAATGAAGCCGTTTTTGATTTATTTGCATTTGGAATAGGTATGGACTGTTATCAAATTTCCAAGGTTTGGGTCTTTGCACAAATATATTGTCTCCTGTGGACAAGTGATGTAGCCAAAGGTCTTGGGGAGTTTGGGCCACTGGTGTTTAATGAGGCTACGCCAGAAGTGGGTGTGTGGGCGGCCTTACGTTCTGAAGAATGTTGCCTTCTGTAGGCTTTTTGCAGGGCCCTGTGTATCGCCGGCAATTGATACCAGCCTCCCAAGTATGCACAGACAAACAGCCCACTCACATGGGTCTAATGGCACAATCTCCGTCCGTTCCATGCATGGACGTTTTGCGATCGCATACCTCAGTCTCTCCCCATCACGGTGCACTCGGCTCGTACTAATTAGCCTCTTGCTACAGTTCAGACACTTTCCAAAACATGGGCAAACTTCCCTCTTTCTTCCCCACCCATCGTGAACAAAACGCCTCCTCCTCTCTGTCCACCGCGCTCATATCTCCGCGGGTCTTTCGGGGCTTGGGAAAGGCCTTCTTGATTGAGTGACGAGAGCTCAAGTGGGGAGAGGAGGTAAGAAGAAAGATAACCTGAGGGAGGGCTGTAAAGAGTTAAGTGATGGATTTTAGACAACTGTGACAGATTAAAGATCAGGTGCAATGCAGGGAGACTTAAATATACGGTGTATATACAATATGTGCGTCGGGGTGGG